ATGCCAGCTTCCTCGACGCTGTCGTCAATGTCGCCCTGCTTTCCTTTGGCATTGTCGCTCCAGTCGACGCCCCATGTTATGAGCCTGTCCTTTTGAATCCTGAATTTGCGATGCAGCGCGTGCGCTTCTGGCGTGTCTTTGCTATCCTGCTCCACCACAGCATCGCAGGTGGTTTTGGTGTCTGAGTAGAGCTGTGTCAAGCGCCGCGGCAGTCTGCTAATCGTTTCCATGGTCACAAGCGGGCAGGCAAGTCGTCGCAAAGGCTGCTGCGACGCGCGATGAGGGTGGGGGGGAAAGGCGATTATTAGCTATGTGAGGGGATGCATGAGGGGTGCCTGCAACATGACTGCCTTGGGGCCCGTCGCCATGGCGCAAGACTCGTGTTCTGTCTAACCAGGGTGCATTTGATGGTTGCCTACAGGCACCGCCTCAGCTCCTTGGATGGTGGGGGAAAGATCTCCGTCGCCGACACACCAATCACAGCGCAGTCTTCTCCGCCTGCGCCACCACCACCACGGCAGGGCTGGCCTACGGAGTGTGCGACAGCCTCAGGCAACGATGGACGTGCATGCATACAATTCGACATGCTAATCCAGAAGCCACACATGAGCGTTATCGCGATCTCTACTGAAACAACATTCGTCATTCTTGCGAAAAGCGAGGCTGTAGTGAGTAATAATGTCTCAGCTGCTACCGTGGCATGCTGGCACGCCATAGTCACGACGACACTAACATATTTCAACGTGTGAGCAGCAGCAGCGGGAGCCTACAACAACTATAGGATAACGTAATCATATGCATAGACCTTTTTTTTCTTCTCAATATTACAACATCGTTAGCATATATTTCCAAATCCTTTTTCTTTCAGTCCTGCTGTGTGCCAACTTTTGTTTTTCTCATACAAGTCATATCCAGGTTCAACTGATGCCAAATCAAAGACTAGTCAACAACTTAGTCCTCGGTAAGATCGCCATACTCCCACTGGCCGCGGCGCTCCTCCTTGGCGATATCCTGCTTCTTCTTCAAGGCAGCCAAGATGTTTCCACCATTGCGCTCAAACGGTCGTAGCTTCTTGGGCACCATGGCGAGACCTTCGCTCAAAATGTCTGCGTTGATGCTCTCGGTGCCGTCTTTGCTCTGACTGGGGTTGTACAAGGTTACCCAGAGCATGCCATCCTTCTCGGTTGCCTCGACTCTGGCAACGAGCTCGCGGTCTGCAGTCTCTTGCGAGATGAATGATACCGCATCCTGGAGGTACTCGGAGTTGCCAGGGAGTTGGATGTATGCCAACTGTGCCTCGACTGCTTGTGGCTTAAGCTTTGATGGCAAGAACTGGGGCTGTGAAAGAGGGCGGAGGCGTGACCATGGGATGATCTCGGAGTTGCCATAGTCAATGTACACGACCTCGGCCTTTTTGTTTTCACGGTCGTTGCGTCGAATGCGCGCACGGTACCACTGGTCATCGGCAGTGAACTTGGCTGCGACAAACTCACCAGCCTTGGGAGCGTCGGACAGGCCTTGGCTGTTTGCTGGGTTGAGATGGAACTTGCCAAAGGCGTCCATCAGCGATGTCAAGGCTGATGTACCGCTGCCAATTTGCTGGAGTCGAAGACGGCCATCATCCTCGACATGTGTGATGATGACATCGCGGTAGTCTGCCTTTGCTGATGGAGCAGCCTCGCCATTAGTGGCTTCAGCGACTTCAGCTTCCTCACCGTCGTCCTCTTGTGAAGGATCATAGTCATGCCACAAGCCCTTGCGTGCGTCCTTGGCCCTCTGCTCAGCAGCAAACAGCTCGTTTGCGTTTCCAGCCTTCTCCGCGGAGTAGGCATGGACTGTTGCAAGACCCTCCTCGACTAGCGTCTTTGCAAAGTTCTCACGGTTAATGTAGAGAGTACCGATGAAACCACCGACCTTGTCACAGTCCTCGACGTCGATTTCAACGTCTCGCTGCTGGCAGCGTCGGTTGGCGAATTCGTGTGCCTCCTTGCCAAACGGCTCCCCCTTTTCGTTCTCGTTGCGCGCAGACCGAGGCGCACGAATACCAGAGAGGACAAAAGTGAGCTTTGCGTTCTCGCGTGGTACGAGCACAGTGAAGCGCGATCCAGACTTGACAAAGTCTACAATCGCAGGCACCTTGCGTTGTCGGGAGAGTACGGTGAGTTGGCGCTTGGCCTTTTCAAGCGACTCGGAGTAGTCAACGTACTGCTTGACAGACGGCGCCTTGTCCGACCACAGCCCCTTCTTCTCCTCTTGTGCAGCTTGCTCAGCCAGTAGAAGGTCATCGTAAATGGGGCTCCTATCCGTGTCGTCCTGTCGGTGGCGGATGACCGAAGCCATGCCGTTCTCGACAAGCATCAGACCAACATTCTTGCCCTGGATGGTGACGGTGCACATCTCTCGCTCATCGTAGCCGTCGCTGGCCGGCCGCTTTCCATCCACGTGGAACCTGACATGCTTGCCAATGAGCTTCTTGCGCAGGAACTCCTTTGCCTCGGCCACCCATGGCGATTGCTTGGGATCAGTAGGCTTTGGTTGACGGACGCTGCTGAGGTTGATGCGCTTCTCTGCGCCGGCCTTGTTCCGCAGGAAAAGGGTGTCTGCGCTCTGAATCCGGCTAACGGTGGCTTCTTGCTCGCCCGCCCTGGTGACCTTGGGCGCAACGTGTTCCTTGTACACACCCAGTCGGCCTTCCTTTGCCTGCTTCTCAGCTCCTCTCAGTATACCCATTTGCTGGCCCAAAAGGGTGGTGTGGTGGTCGGTGCACTTTGCGAGACCATTCTTGAGGAGGAAAGGCGTGATGCTGCCCTGGGTCGGGTGCTTGACGTCTGCAACGAGCTGGCCGTTGGGTGTAGTACCGAGTACCTGAACGAGCACGCCGCGCTGGAGCATCCTTGCCTCAACAAATTGTTGTGCCTCGTCACCAAATGGCTCAGCCGGTTGCACCTTTCCGTCCGAGGGGTTCGTTCGTTGTGTTGCTGGTGCGCGGATACCAGCGAGGAGGACCATGGTTTGCACATGCTCGGTGGGGGAAAGAAGGAGGCGCACGATAAGACGGTCGCCGGACAGGACCTTTTCGACAATCGAGTCAATGTCCTTGCCCTTGTTCTGCTCAACAAATTTGTGGGGATCGCTCAGCTCTAAAGCCACGTTGATCCTGCCGCCCGTCTCAGCCCAGATTCCCTTTGAATCTGCCCTGGCGCGTGCCTCGTCGACTTGGAGTCTCTCAATCAGATTGGCCGCTTCGTCCGAGTCTTCTTTGCGGCCAGCGTCGTCTCGTAGCTTCACCCAGCCTGCTGCGACGGCTTGTTGCGGTAGTATCTCCTTGTTCGGTGTGACAATGAGACCATATTCACGGTTCGCGCCCGTGGGGATTTTGTACAGGACTTGGAATCGGACGACCTTGCCTACCAGCAGGCGGCGGAGATAGTCGCGTGACTCGAAGGCGAAGGGCTCATCTCCCTCTCGTCTCAATCGCGGCGCTGTTACAAAGGCTAGGCTGAGTATGCGCTCTGCTTTTGGGTCCTTGATGTTGTGGAGGACGACGGTATCGCCAGAAAGCACGCTCTTGACCTTTGCCTCGAAAAGGTTGCTCATGGTGGATGTCGGGTAGCTGCACCGGCGAGGTCGAGTGTTAGCTACGGTGTCCAGAGAGCTGCACATGGTCGGTGGGGCACCTGTTCTCGACGACTTACCGGAAGGAGATGCCAAAATCGATTATGTGTACCACTAAGTGTTAGGGAAGAGGAGCAATTGATGTGTGGGCCAAATGCCAATTGCTTTGTTCGAGTGTTGAGATGCTACGTGTTGTGATGGCGGGCAAATCTCGCCGTTGCTTCTCAGGGACCGTTCTTGTGGGGTCGGAGACCCTAGTACTAGGCGAAGCTAAGATTGTCACTGTCGGCGAGGCCCAGCCCATTACATGTCGCAGTGGACGGAGCTGGAGAACGCGTACACGCGATGTGGGGTTGTGTAATTTGGACCATGCTGTATTTCTATTGTTTGTGTTGTCATTTGCATCCTGAGAATAATTTTTTTGGAGGCTAAATTTCTACCACGATGGAATGCAGCACCGGTCTCAACGAAGTAAGTTGTGATTGACGCAGGTATAGTACTTGGTCTAATTACCCAATCGAGCCATTGCACTTGTAAAGAATCTTGGTCATCTCCATGAGTGCTTACAATGCTTTGATGCAAGAGCTTGCTGTTAGTCCCAAGTCTGACAAGATGCATGGCAGAGCAGCGACAGCTACCAAAGAAACAAACAACCTACTACATGATAACAAAATCACCAATTTGAGAGCTGAGACATTGACATGTATAGTTTATGTGATGTTTAGTAGTTACAAAGTAAAGTTAATAGCTATATTACTAGCTTTGGTAAGTGGTTAGAAAATTCTCGGTAGATACAAATTTGAATGAGTAGTAGCGATGCAATAGACACAAAACAAATGAGCTTGGAGTGAACTCAGACAAAGTCTGGAGGAATCTCAAGATGCGTATGGGACGATGTAATTAATACTCTTCTACACGTGACTGTGGACCCTTTTTTGGCCCGAGATGTCAGCTATGGGTCTCGGGTCGCTGGTCTTCCTAGGCCTTAATTCAAAGTACGGTGACATACTTTCCGGCCGTGTCAGCCTCCTGAATACTATGTCAACTATGTATAAACTTTACACTATAAGTATATATATTTTGTTGATATTACGCCGTAATGATTCCAGTCGGGCATTCTAAAACATGATTTGTTACATAGTTTGCAAGCAGTCTTAGGGATTGATGATGGCTCCCGGACTTTAACGGACTTAAGCATGTAAAACCATGGCACCACCCCCTGTCAGCCACCAATACACAGCGCGTTACTATGCAAACGGGGCGTAACGGGCAATATACACGACGAGTTGGATTAGCAATTGGTAGAAAAATAAGGCCTCCTGCTGCAGGAGGGGTGGGCAAATATAAAGCAGAGAGAGAGATTGATAATGAATGCGTAGGTCGAATACACATTCTATCCAGCATCTGCTGATTGCATTTTTTTTACGCTCGAGTTACTAGGCTCAATATCAGTTCCTACCTTGGCCAAGACCAAAAGAATGCCAGACGTCGAAACGATCCGGTCGAGCATTGGGCAGCTGCCAGATGGGCGGCCGCTTGTCGTGGCCTTGATTGGAGGTACAAGTGGGATTGGGTCGTATGTAGCACAAACGTTTGCGTCGACATTTGCAAGGCATGGATCTAAGCTCAGGGTTTACCTGGTGGGGCGCAATGCTGAACGGGCAGAGACGCTGATGCAATTTGGTCGTGAGACCAGCGAGGGTTCGGAATGGCGGTTCATTAGGGCAAAGAATTTGGCTTTGATGAGCGAGGTGGATGCTGTGAGTGAGGAGATTATGCGGCAAGAGGAGGCAAGTGCGTTTGTCGGGGGGCCACCGAGATTGGATGCATTGTACATGAGTTCGGCGTTATCGCCACTGGCACCATCACCTCGTAGGTTATCTGGTTTTCTTTGTTCTTGTTTCTTGTTTTTTTTCTTGTTCCGCTAGAGTTTCATGTACTGATTGGAACAAACAATGGCAGTTACGGAAGAAGGACTTGATTCGCAAATGTCGTTGCTCTACTACTCACGCATCCGGTTCATACAGAATCTCAGCGGGTTGCTTAGCGCCAGTCCGACGACGGCACACGTCATTTCCATTTTTGCGGGATCCGTCGAGGACCAGATCAAGACAGGTGAGGTGCCGATTGGGGCGCCAGAGGCAGCAAGCTACAGTGTGACCGAAGTGCGCAAGCGGACGTGCTTCATGAAGACATTTATTTTTGAATCACTGGCCGAGCAACATGAGGGAAAAATCAGCTTTGTACACATTTACCCTGGACTAGTAGACGGCCCGACATTTCTGAGTGAGGAAAACCCGCTATGGTTCCGTATGTTGTGGAGGGTGTTGAAGCCATTGGCAAGCTGGTTTATGACGAGCGCCGAGGTGTGCGGGCAGGTCATGGTGTCTCTGTGTACGGAGCGGTATCCTGCAAAGGGAACGTTGACGGGGGACAAGGTTGCTTTGAGTAGTCAGAAGGAAATGGGAGGGGGCGCTTATGCAGTCGGCCAGCGAGGGGATGAGAGGAAGCAAGTGAGCTGGGCCAAGGCGCGGCGAGATGACAGTGCAAAGAAGGTTTGGGAGCATACCATGGGGGTGTTGCAGGGGGCGAGAGAGGACAATGCCGGTGGATAGATTGTGTGAGCAAATCAATTGAGCAGAGAGAAATGCATGTGTATGGGTGGTTGGTTGAGCAGGGCAGGCTGTTGTCACGGGGACAGATGGATGCAGCAGAGGATACGCGTCCTGTGTGCTTGGGCAGGGCAATACTCGAAATGGAAGGGATTGTTGGCGTAGCAGCAGGGCCAACATGGAGGTGGGGGCTTTGTTGTGAGTGCCGTCGGTGGAGTGTTGGGGTAGATTGATTTTTTGCAGCGGAGGTGTCAGACTCGTGTCAGCAGCTTGGATTTGCGTTGAGCGGTAGACTAGAGGCCGTTCATAATTAGCAGCAAGCTAGAAGCGATGCCAAGGCCGGGGCAGGACCGGTTCGTGAAGACATGATGCGACTGTGCAGCACGGACTGGAGCGGTTGGGCGTGTGGCAATGCGGGCGGAGGAGCAAGACACGGAGGGCCGGGGCGCGGAAGGCAGCGGAAGGGAGCGTGTGGTGGTGGAAGCAGAAGCAAGAGGTGGGCACGAGGCCATGTGTATGTGTATGTAACCGTACATGGAGGGCATCGTCATTTGGAGGAGGCTAAGAGGCGGCAGAAGAAAAGGTCGCTGACGCGGCTCTGGCGCCGGGCACGCAAGATGAGATAAGCTTCGGTCGGGGCGGGGTAGGGACGCGAGAGTGGGCCTTGCGCCGATTGCAGCAGGCGTGTGGTGCAATGGCGCCATGTGCAGAGTGCCTGCAAGTGTTTCGCAGTGGCGGCAGTGGTTTGGAGCGTGGACAAGCAACACGCGCGCAGGCAGCACGTAGAATAAGAATGGCAGCAGCAGCAGCAGCAGCAGCAATGCCATACGCGCAACAGGACCAGGGCATCGACGGTTGCGCGACCAGGCCATGTGTATTGGATATCGGGCGGGGCTGGCTAGTGTCGAGGATGCAGATGCATGGCGGGCTGCCGTGCTGGAAGCGGCATCGGGCTGTGCATTGGCAGGCACGCCGTGGGCAGTGTTGGATATTGGATGCCAGGCTTGGGGGAGTCGAGTTGCAGCGATTGTGCGGAAAAGAAGGAGGGTGGACAGAGACAGCCAACCACCAGCCCCGTCGCCGGCCATGCTGAGATAGCGGAGATTGCATGGGCCGCCCACCCTGCCCTGGCCTGCTTGTTTCCACGCAACGGGCGTCGCACCGCCAGGCACCTCATCGCCATCCCATCCATACTTGATATACATGTCAACACCCGCCTCCCGCCACAACAAAGCATGGGGCGCATGCCTGTGGTGCCGCCATTGGCGTGGGCGCACCGCAGCACCGCAGCACCACCATGGTCGTCATGGGCCATGCAGCGCTGCAGCTACTGCACACCTACCACCGTGGCTCCTTACTCGCGCACGCCAGTGCATGCATCGTCTGCGTATCTACTCCGTGTGCTATGTACACTCTGCTTGTGCGAGTCCCGCGGCGGCGCAAAACCTGTTGGGGAGGGCTTGATGGCTGGGCTGGCCGACGTCACCAGTGGGTTCGCCGCCGTTGGTGGGCCGCGTTTCCTGGGTGAAATGCGTGCGGCGGGCCAGCCCCGGCGCGCACAGCACCTGCACCCCGTCAGCCTCCGTCCTACCAGCCCGTCTTACCCGGCCTGCCAGAACGCCCTGCCTGCATCCTGCCCTGCCCTGCCCTGCCCTGCCTGCCTGCCTGCCTGCCTGCATCCTGTCCTGTCTATCCACCAAACCTCTCCTCCCTTCCCTCCACCACCTCCCACACGCCGCACCATTTCTTTTGGCTGCCTGTGCCCCCGCCCCAAAGCACACGCCCGCCTCGCCCTGCAAGAACAAACAAAGACACCCGCCCCAATCGCCCACACGCCCCCACCGACCCATAGTCCTCTGCGACCGATCCCCCGAGCGGTGCGCCGCCGCCCAAGACGTCTTCGCTTCCTGCTGCACCCTTTGTAGCGAAAAAAAGTCCCCAAAATGGCCTACCACCAGCAACAAGCCTGGCCACTCGGACAAGCTCAATACACCGACCAAGCCTCCGCCGACGACGACAGCCCTCCCCCTCCACCCGTCCATCGCACGCCTGTAGGCCAGCACATGAATAGCCACCCACCCTACGCTGACCCCAACAACTACTCCGACTACTCGCCGCCTGGCCACGCCCTCGCCGACAACTCCATGGCTGCACACCAGCCCCCGCCCTCGGCGCCGCCCACACGAGGAGCCCTCGAGTCAGGCCGCCCAATGGGTGTCCCCAGCAACCTTTCGCCAGTTTCACCCGTTTCACCCTTCAATGACTATGACGCCTCCATGGTCCCCCGCCCAATGTACTCTTCGCGCTCAAACGGCTCCGCTGCGCCTCTCGCTCCCGGCATGTACTCGAGCGACAGCTCCCTCCTCAGCATGCCTCACTCATCCCACAGCGGCCACGCCTACTCGGACACGCCCTACAACCGCTACTCGTCGTCGGCCCAGAACCTCGCCCCGCAAATGGGTCAGATCAATCCAAACGAAGTCGACAATGACGACGACTGGGGAATGGGCCCCAGCGAGGCCCTGCAGAATAAGCGCCGTTCCTTTGTCCCCTTTGGCAGCTCACGCGACGGCAGCAGCCGCAATGGCTCTCCTGGTTCCTCCATCAACAACGGCGCTGCCGGCGCAGGTGCAGGTGCAGGTGCTGCTGCAGGTGCTGCCGCCTACAGCGCCGCCCGCGACGGCAACAAGTACGACACAGTGCCCATGGTCAACGGAAGCGGCGAGCTCATGCCCGAAAAGATTGCAAGCTGGAAGGCAGAAGACGACCTGAAGAAGCGCAAGAAGCGAATGTGGATAGCCATTGCAATCATCACCGTCATCATGTTGGGCGCAATCCTCGGTGGTGTCCTCGGGGCCACCATCAACCGCGGCGGCGGCGGCTCCGACAACGCAGAACAGGCGCAACAAGCTGCCGACGACGTTACCAAAGATAACAAAGATGACCTGGACAAAAACTCGGCAGAGATCAAGGCCCTCATGAACAACCCCAATCTGCACAAGGTCTTCCCCGGCATGGACTACACGCCCCTCAACGCCCAATACCCAGACTGTCTCCACGTCCCACCATCGCAGAATAATATTACGCGTGACTTGGCCGTCATGTCACAGTTGACCGACTCGGTCCGCATCTATGGTACTGACTGCAACCAGACCCAGATGCTTATCCACGCCATTCAACGCCTGGAGATTCAGGATTCCATGAAGATTTGGCTCGGAGTCTGGCTCGACAGCAACGACACCACTACCCAGCGACAGATTTCCCAGACCTGGGATATCCTCGACGACTATGGCTGTGACTATTTCAAGGGCATCATTATCGGCAACGAGGTGCTCTTCCGAAAAGACATGACTGCCGATCAGCTCCTCAGCCACATCACCGACTTCCGCAACAACATTACAGACCACAAGTGCCAGCTCCCCGTCGCCATGGCCGATCTCGGCGACAACTGGACCGCCGAAATGGCCACCAAGGTCGACATTGTCATGTCCAACGTCCATCCATTCTTCGCCGGTGTTGACGTCAAGACCGCTGCTGCATGGACCTGGGATTTTTGGCAAACTCATGACGTTGCTCTTACCGCCAACCAGAACAAGATTCACCAGGTCATTGCAGAAGTTGGCTGGCCATCTGGAGGCGGTACTGATTGCGGTGGAGCCACGACTTGCACAGACGGATCGGTTGCTGGTATTGACGAAATGAATCAGTTTATGGAAGACTGGATCTGCCCCAGTCTGCAGAACGGTACCGAGTATTTCTGGTGAGTTTATTCTTTTTCTTTTCTTTGTTAATTCTTAAAAAAAAAAGGCCCACGGACGCAAAAAAAACTAACAACTATCTAGGTTCTCTGCATTCGACGAGCCATGGAAGATCATTTACAACGAAAAAGGCAAAGAATGGGAAGACAAATGGGGTCTCATGGACGTTAACCGCAATCTCAAGACCGGCCTCAAGATCCCCGACTGCGGTGGTCAGTCGTTACCGACATCGTACCAGCATTAGACGAGCGAAACGACCGCATATCACCATTCCTTCTCACTACGAGTTCCTGCATGACGGCATGGCGTTGGTTGGCGTTTTTTTTTTAAATTTCTCACCAAGGAAAATACTCCTTTGTGATCTCTGGCATCATCCATTTGCAGTTGAGGAAGTTTTTTTTTACTCTTCTTCCCAAGGCGCGGCATCATATCCATCTCCTTGCCCAACGAAAAAAAGGGCCTTGTATATTTGGGATCGGGGAGCACACGTGTGCTTATCTGGTTTTGTTGTCTTTTTGGTTTTCCTTTTTTTTCAATTCCCGATCCGCGATATCTTGGTCGGTTGGTGGCTTGATTTGCTTGCTCTCATGCCCGCGACCTTATCTGAGCGGACATGTTGGGAGAGTGGAATACCCTCTGTTTTCGGTGGGGTTGGCTGGGCCTGTTTCCTTTTGTTACATGGAATAATGTATCGGAGATTGGAGGGGATGGGCGGGGTGGGGTTATGGGAGGAAGAGAGAGGAACATAAAGTCTGGCTTGTATATATACGCACATACGACATCACTTGGGATGAAAGAATTTACTCCGGCTGGCTGGAAACATTTTAATCCAAGCCAAGTTGGTTTGCACTGCGCCGAGTTTGAGAGTTGTATTTCATTGCCATATTTTACAATTTGATAGAATGGTCAAGGGGTGGGTTGGCATGCTTGTTGAGCCCGACATAGAAATAATGAGAAATGCCAAATGACTTTTGAAAGATTCTCTTCAATCCCATTTCATCTGCATCCAACAAAATTTTTTCTCTCTTTACCACCATTTCCAACATGTTTTCTTTTTTTGTTTGCCCTTCCCTTTTTTCCATCCCGACACAACAACAAAACACACTAGCAGCACAATTTCCCCCCCTCCCATTATCCGTTCCTCCTCAAATTCCCCCCCAAACCTTACTATATTTAGTAACCCCACGTTTCCCACGTCGCAAAAACAAAAATGTCCCCCCCACGTCTACCCACCAAACACATCCCTCCCTCCCTCCCCTGCTTCTCTTTCTGTTCTCTCTCTTTTTTTTCTTATCCCCCCCTCCATGCTTCTCCCTGCCATCGCCTATCGTATGCGTACCTACCACGCAAAACTTGGTGGCCCCGGTCATCCTGCATGTTCGGCACACATATGTACGACTGGCGGAATACTACGCGCGTAAACATATATGCAAGGGCGCTTTTTTTGGGCGCTGCAGGGCGTTCATGCAGGGTTGTATGTGTGTGTGTTATCTGCAACATTTTGTTTTTTTTTCTGGAGGAGAGGGGGGGGAAAGAAAAGAAGAGAGAGGGGGCACGTGAGATGGGGGATTTACGGAGCTGGTGGGGAGAAAGGGGTGGTAGGGACCCAATGAGTGCTATGTACGATGGTAGTACAAGTACGAATGTAGCTTCGCGGTTTGTTTTAACCTTTGTTGGCAACACGGAGTGATGGGTTGGAGGAAGATATTGTGGAAGAGGGAGAATAAATTAAGATTTGTGGGGTTAGATGCATGGTTGGTATGTAGATATAAAAGCTTTCTTCTTGTACTCATTGGCTTAGATAGAGGCGTTTGGTCAAGGGGTAAGAGTATCTCTGTGCACCAGTACAATAGGAAGATAGTTTACTAGAGCTTCCTAAGAAAAATACTAAGCGGGTGATTCATCGATAGAAGTGGGGGTGGGTTTCAACTAAGGCTTCGATCCTAAATCTGTTTACAGATGAAATTCTTTTTTAAATGATTTGGCAGAGATCAAAAATTAAATTGGGCTTCTTAACTTGACTTGTAGTAATTAGCACGTGAGGGACGCACTGTAGCACAGGCCAAAAGCCTTTTGTGCAGTAGAGACGCTAAACCCATAACAATTATACAGTAGGCTATTCTTCAGCTCATTCCATGTAGGAAAAATGCCCCCCCTCCTATATCATACAGATTATACTCTATGTATTATAGCTCGTACGATCAACAGTACGGTCTTGCTCTCTTACCCTAGCCTCTACTTATCATGCCTCTTGTTAGTGCTTATGCCCATGACTTCTACAATGTGCCGCAATACTACTGTATATCCAACATTTAGTGATGGGACGGCTAATTGGCTTTCTACTTGATCAAAAGGCAGGGTCTAGAAATCAAGCAAGCTGGCGTATGTACCACGGTAGGTGTATTGCGGGTTGATGTATGACCGGTGCGGACGAATGTAGGAACACTGTGGATTGATGTAGGAATATCTTGGTCTACTGTAAAATGCGAGAATAGAGTATTAAAGCAGTATAGTACAAGTGTCTATCCTAAGACTGCGGGAGGTGAGCTAAGTACAAGATCCCAGCCAAGACGCTACTAGTAAGTATACTACGTACCCAAACAGGGTAGTAAGTCGTGGCATCATAACACATCGAGGCGTAATAGTATTAAGATGATTAACTAAGAACAGCTGCGCACAGTTCCGATCCGATCATCTCCATTAATTACTAGTTTCAATGTATTTCAGAAGACCGAAGCCATTAATTACATGAGATGATTATTTCTACACTGCACTTCCTCTCTCCACATACAAAGAGTAGCAGTAAAGTTAGAAAATGGGTAGGATAGATAGTAGAACCCTTACTACGACATGGCGGCAGCCATGACCTCGACAATCGCCGGCCCAGCTACAATCGTATCATCCGTAGCCGCAGTATTGCAACTCGTAAGAACCAGATAACTCTGTCCCGTGACACCCTCCTTGGGCACCATGACTTCAAACCCCCCCTCCACAGCCTTGACATCAACAAAAACCGGCCCCGTAACCGTAACAAACGCCGCATACACCTCGCCCTCAATCGCATACCCGGGCGTAGAAACAACAATCTCGTCACCACCATAAATCCCCATCTTGCCCGTGTCCGCCGGCTTCGCGCTCAGCACCGGAAACGCCTTGACCGGTAGCTTTGGGTTCGACTCGGGACAGCTCTTGATAAACTGCGCCGCAAGCGTGTACACCTCGTTGTACCCGAGCGGGTTGTCAAACGGCGCCGGGAAAGGCGCTTCGGAGATGCTGTTCCGGATGTACGCAGCATGTCGTGCTTCGACTGTCAGGATCGACCCGGCAGCGGTAAGATACGTCTTCGACATGATATCCGCGGCCGCGCCGAGATACGCGCTTACGCCTACGCCCTCGAGGACAGATGCCGTGGCGAGGAACGATGCTACGTCGGTGTATCCAAAGTCGTACGTGCATGCCTCGACGGGTGTTGCGCCCGCGGCTTTGAGGCCGGCGGTTAGGAAAGAGACGTGGGCTGCTTCGTCTGCGGCGATTGTTTTGACCCTTTCGTAGGTTTCTTGGGTGAAGTTTGCGGAGGAGAAGTCTGCGGCGGTGTACTTGGCTAGGGCATCGCTGTAGAATGTTGATTCCAGGTGCTCGAGGGTGAGTGCGTAGTTGAGGATTTCGCCGTCTGTTGGGCCATCTGCACGGCGGGAGATGGGGGAGGCGGAGGTGAGGGCCGCGAGGGCCGCGGCTGTGGTGAGGAGGGTGGATTTCATTATGGACAGTAGATTAAGAGACTTTGTAGTAAAGTAAAGTCTGTGGATAGTGTTCAAGTTGGGGAGAGTGGTTAACTTGATGCCTCCTTGTTTCTTTCACGACTACGGCGTCTCTTATACACAAATGTCTTTCATGCTTCCAACTCTACTAGTCCCGTTGTTATTCCTCTGGAACCCCCAAATTTTCCCGTCATCGTCGTCATCGTTGATTGTAGAAAATAATCGCCCGAACGGAGTGAATCTCATCCGACGCTCTAAATCCTAGTACTAGTAGCGTACGTTCAAAGTCTATCCTGCAACCACCCGAATAAGGAAACGCTCAGCAACCCCAATTTCCTGATCAAGGGTTTGTAAGGCCAAAAATCGACTGGCGCCGGCAGATTTAGGTAAGCGTGCAAGAAACAGCATCTCCGCACATTTGCGGGTTGGGCTCATTTTGGTGTTGTGTCCTGCTGTAGTTGCCCACATTCACGGAATGCTGACCTTCCGAACGACACAAAAGTGCGCTAAAGCGGGTAAGCTCACCACGCTACAGGGCCGACTACGATCGGCTTGTCATGATCTGACCAATTGGAAGAGACTGAAACCCCTGGAAGGGGAAGATCGAGACTTATTTTCTGTTCAACCTAGGTTTTTGTATGCGGACATTGTGAGGCGCGGGACGTGGAGCCCGTGTCCGCATTGTAGGAGGGAGATCCGCGGGACGATGGTGGGTGCGGGGTTTTTATTTGGTAGAAAGGGAAAAAGATTTGTATGTATCCAGATGGGGATATCGCGGGGTGTAAAGTGAGAATGTATGACGAGTGTGGCTTTTTTACTTTATTCATTGCATGTGTGGTTGTACTTCTGCAAGACTTCGAATCCTACGAACCTATCAAAGCTGCTGCACATGACACTCGAGGTATACACTGTGAACAAACATACCCAAAGCCTACATTCGATTAGCCTAGGGGCATTCGCACAATACCGTCCCTGAAGCTACACGCATCCAAAACACCCAACCGCACAAGCGTTCGAACGGAGAATTCCAGAATCCGCACTACTATCTTCCCCACAATCCCGCGGCCACACTCTTTTTTGCACCTAGCACCAGAAAGTGATCGCCAGACAGAAATCTCCCGTACCAATCAAATCTCTCTAGCACAAATCTGAACAAACTGACGTATCAGCATCCATCTTCCCGCCCCCGACTCATCCACTGCAAAGCCCGTTCGCCCCCTGCACCGGAAAACACACCCTCCGAACAAAACTTAGGCCCCAATTTGCACTAGTAGATCGACACACACACATTCGATTTAGTTCATTTAACCCCCAAACCGGCGAGTCCAGATAGATACTTACGATCCATACCCAAACCGTACCTGCCTAGTCTTTCGGCAACGCTGTTTCCCGAGTGGAAGACGTTTGATCCGTTAGTAGGGAGTTGACTGTGATTTGCAAGTCAGGGGGGGAATAGGATTTGGGTATACAGGCTAATCAAGTTTTCGAGAGAGGAGAAAGGATGGTTGTGGCGTGGAAGTAGAGCAAGCCGAGGCGAGAAGAAGGTAGGTGAGGTGGTAAGTAGTGTGGAAAGCAAGGGGTTAGGCTCAAAAAACTACTGAAAAGAAAGTAGAAAGATCGCTTTAGAGGACTTTGTTTCAGTTCATAACTGTCTGGAGTTCTACTTGAAGGAGTAAAGAGAAACATACATCATACATCCTATTCTTATCCATCTTCAAAACCTCAGCATACACAACAATGAGACTCTCAACCTCCCTGCTTACCTTCTTCCTCGCCACAGTAACAGCAACATCAGAGTCCGTCACTCCCTCCTCATCCATCCACCCAACTAACCCCTCCTCCCACAGCACCCCCCTCTCAACTCTAACCATCCACCCTGCCTGCCCCAGCACCACGCCATCGGACGCAATCGTGACGCGCTCCAATGCACCCATACCTTCCTGTGCAGCAGGCAACGAGACAAAACCCCTGATAATCAGCATGGACGGCAATAAAACGATGACGATGACTGCAGGAGGAGGAAGCGCGAGGATGACGCCTAGTATGAGTTCGAGTGGGAGTCCGGCGCAGTTTACTGGCGCGGCGGGTCGGAATGTTGGTTTTGGAGGTGGGGTTTTGGCGGCAGTAGGGGGCGCAGTTGTTGCTGTTGTTGTTTAACATCCCTCCCCGGGTCCCGCAAATCCCGCCGCGCCGCAAAGAACCTGCAGTTTTTGTGCCTTAAATGTCACCATGTTGCTTCTACTAAACTTTTGTAACGCAAATTTTGTTTTCAACGTTATTAAAAAAGTTCCTCTTAAACTAACCTCGGTTCTCCAAGTGATTCTATTCGATGTACTTGTCGCTCTGGTACATTTATGTATAAAGTACATTAGTTCTTACTGACGTAGATTAGATTACCGTTTAATGTTGATTTCTTGAAGAATCTATTAGATTACGTGCTAATCTATTTCTAGCATCAGAGTAAGTTTCCCGGTCTTATAGGCCGCGTACTAGGAAGGAGAGTGTCCGTTATAACAGCCTCAGTAGTAGTATTCACAACATCATGAACGTGGATATGGCCTAACTCGGGGTATATATTGGAACAAGCTAGCCATTCCGTTTCATGTACTAGCAACTCGATTTCCCCATTATAGGATGATGCTACCCCATACCATGTTTAGTACTATCTCTGTATGAGTGCAAGGGCACGATAGAAATAGAGCGGGAAATAAAAGGACTTCTCAACAGTGAAGCACCTGTTCATTTCTCTGATTGGGGCGCATTAGATATGACGCGTGACTTCTTTTTCGCGGCAGTGGTACGTATAGACCTTACGTTGGCTGATCGGTCTGTAGGCGTACCACCCCTCGCACCTGAGTCTAGGTCGACTCTGCACCGCTACACATCACACACCACTAGCACGATCAATAATCTTGTATTTTGAAATGGGTGAAACATTCGACTGGGACTATCCCGGCCTAAACTGGTCCCATTTCCATTCTCTAGCTAATCTGCTATCGCTTCGAAACGACGGCCAGGCCGAAGCCTCCGCTATCCAACGCCGTGCTCGACGAAGACTACTATAATGGCGATAACAACAACAATGCGAGCGCATCTAGTGTGAACACTATCTGCGCTGATCTAACAGCAGATTCTGGACATGCAAGGCTGAAACAGAAGTTACTGGACTGTTTGGCGGAATTCGCGGCAAACAGAAAGGGCGGAGCTACAGTCGCTTGCTCTGCTATGAGAGAGAGTGGAGACAGTGTGTCAATCTGGATCGCTCGGAATGAGGGGTTCTCGGAGGCTAACAAGCCTATGTTTAGTGTCCTAGAAAGGCTGTTGGAATCATATTTGTGTGGCAAAGGTATGTTCAACAGACTGACTTTTCGTTGACAACTCATCTGCTGATATCTATTTAGATACAAATACAGATGTGCGTCTGTGGAAAGAGCTGGTGTCATTCCGCCAGAGTCGGATACAGAGCAGATACATACTCGATTTAAGAGCGAGCCTCAAAGCTTTCGAGGCAGGATATAGGAAGACGTTTCTTGACACAACAGGTGACAGCTCAGACATTGCTTCAAAATTTTCGATCCTGCGCAACCTTCTTTTCGACAAAAGTATTCATGAAGGAAGTACCTTTGACCGACATTCAGAGCTTGTTATCGCAGCGTACAACCTACGCCGGTCAAGCATTCTAGAGCAAATGCTTAACAACCCTCCACAAGCATCCTCCAAATCAAGAAGACTTTGGGTCAACATCTGTCTAACTGCACAGCTGAGAGTTACATTCGAAAAATTCAAAGAAACCGCTCTAACGTTCCCAAGTTTCATGTATATCACCATCACCTTAGTGTTTCGACCTCCTGCACTCGCAAGTGCACCTCGTCGCCTCATGAAGCTACGAGAAACATTTGATATTCTTGGCCTCGAAACAAAGAAGAAGACAATTCAGGCCGTCATGGGTCAAAAGTGGACTCTAATTGAACTTGAACGCAAGTTTGCAAAGGGACAGATACAGAAGCTGAAAATCCATGCCGAGGTGCGATTACTGATGCACTTGAACACATCCAATACATCTGGCCCTGGACCATTGCCTTACATTGGATGTAGTAAGCTGTGTTGCTTCATGTGTAATGCGTTTATCAAGTCACATGGACACCTAAAACACGGGGATCCCACGGTCGTCTTTTCAAGTCATGGACTATTCCAAACATGGAGCTGCTTCCCCCGGGACAGGTCGAGCGAATAAGTGAGGCTTTGATATCACTGCAGAACGAGATAGTGGAGAAGCTCGTCACCCCAGTAGCAGGAAAAGTTCGACTTGAACGAACTTCAGTATTTGGAGGCAGCAGCTTAGTTGGTACTCGACATGACGAAATTTCGACGAGGCGAGCGCAGATTGATCATCTAGTCATCAAGGTAGAGCAGGATCGAGTTTCAGATATGTTCAGGAGGTGGGAAAGTTCAAAATTATACTCTAATTTCCCTCAAACCTAATTCTTACATGCAATCAGAGAGGCCAGACAGAGACTCTCGTCAACTGCTATCATTTCACACCAATTGAGGAGGAGTACAATATAGGATGCGACGTATGTGATTGGCGAACAAAAAGAAGATGCAGTTACTGCAACAAAGGGTACTTCTGCAGCGAATTGTGCGAAGTCAAAGCATCCGTGTATCACCTATTCACATGCTCAAAGCGTCAGCTCACCTCAGCGAACTATCTTTGGAAGTCACTGGTTGAAGACACCATACCTGTGGACGAAAACGTCTTGCAAGATTTTGGCTTTAACAACGCCTTTGACGCCAGTGATCGATCCAACCTCGTTGGCCTATACCGAGGCATTTATCTCTCCGGCGACATTGCATCGAGTGACTTACATGGATGGCGCATCAAAGGTGTCATGGTTGAGAAGATCAAAGAAATGTATTACAGGATACCCGAATCCCATCGCGGCCAGTACTTTCCCTGGTGGCTCAAAAATCTACACCGTCTGCAGAAGCCTACAACCAAAGAAGAAACAGAGAGAAGTATCGCACAGAGTTTCTTTGACAAAGAAAAACTGTACCTTGATCCTCAGGCCCACAATATGCACCCAGAGGAGCTGAAACCTGAGGCAAAACGGGATAGCTTCCTCCTGTTATCACACATGTTGCACCGCCTTACTCCCAACCCGAGCACAACGCTGTACCACACCTTCACCTTTGTAGCCTGCCGCAACAAAACCAAGGAAAGTCAGCTGACAGACATATACATTCTCCTGCTCGTCCCCAGCTACGGCAGTTTCTTCTACACATGCCACAACGAGCGGCGCAGCTTCACACACACACACACAGCTTCGTCCGCTGCATTCTGGAAACCCTACGAAGCCGGGACACTACTTCAGCTCATAGGCTCTTCACGACCTCAAGCATTTGCGCACCTGCTTGCCTCATCTTGAACCATTCCTCCCCGTCCCGCCATCGGCTCCGCCATCCATTAGTTTGCGCGCTTAAACAAGTCCTCGAGAACGCGCATCCAGCAACACGTCCGCTTATCCTGCAAATCACTTGCGACTACGGCTTCGCCAATTGTAACACAAAAGAAGATACATGCACGCTTGTAGAGATTTATAGACGGGTGTTGGCCGGGGTGAATCCGATGGATTTGCATAGTAGGGCGTGTTTAACCGGGAGCCTAGTATTCGAGTTTGCTAGTTCATTTTTGGAGATGGAGGGTAGTGTTGGGAAACCCGTATTCTCGGGAAGAAAATGGGCCTGGGACGGGGAAGGGCGGAAGAGATGGCGCGGATGGAGATGTATTGGATGCAGATGAATCACTACTACAACAGAAGGGATGGTGCGGGGTCATGTGATTTTTGTATTCTGGAGAAATTCTTAATCATCCCTCGTTGCAAATGGGTCTGCATGCAAGCTCCCGCATATGATACCAGCTGACTACAAAATGAAGTTTTTGATGATGAAAGAAGAAGTAGATAGTAAAGAAAAACTCCTGTGACGCCGCCTATATCCTGTATAAAATCTCCCCCCCTGTCCCCACTAAAATCCCAGAAATATAACCGCCTGTTTTTTTCCCGTAAATCTTCATATATGTTTTTTTGTCGTAGTTGTCCAAAATGTCACCTCCAAACTCTAGTCAAAGATATCTCCCCTCTCCCCTCCCCCACTTCAAATTCGGCGTATATAAAGCATCATCATCCCCTCAGCAATTTCCCCCTCGTCCTCTACAAACATGAGAAGATCGAATACAACTCGTAGAAAATCCCCAAGATACATGTCAGCACTATCAACATCACCCAACATACACAAAGACTTCAACCCCCAGTCTAAGAATCAAACACAGCACCATACGCGGCCCCACCCCAAGCCTTAACCCCCTCAACAACCTCTCGCGTAACCTTTGGATTGCTAACTACCATGACGGCTTCGATCTGCGCCTCTTTCATCAAATACGTGGTCTCGCCCGCGACATCCGGTCTGCCTTGTTTGGAGTCGAAAATCCTCGGGTCAGGGTCCACATTGCGGATGATATCCTGGACGAATTGCCAGTGTGGCGCATCAGGCTGGTAGACGCACCACATGACTTTGATGGTACGCCCCTGTTTCTTCATCTGGGCAATGGCGGGGCTGCGCAGGAGGGAGAGCATGGGGCCGATGCCTGCTCCCGTGGCGACGAGCAAGAGGGAGTTGAAGAGCGGGGAGAAGGCGAGGAAGTTCATGGCGGCTGGCTTGCGGATCCAGATGTGCGACGGTGGGTTCTGAATTATGGCTTTTGTCCAGTCGCCGGCTTGGGAAATCACAATGTATGCGGACTCGCCGTCGGGATTGGGAATGGTGGCGAAGGCGTGCCATTCCATTAGGGGACTCCGCGAGAAGCGCATGGTCGATGTGTAAGGCATGTGTTTAAAGGGGAAGCTGAGCTTGACTTCCCGGCTCGAGACGAGCTCGGTGGTGATGGGTACTCGGCGCATGCGTGTCCAGGGGAGGATGATGATAAAGGTCGTGGCGGCTAGGAGCCATACGGCGGGGTTGGTGTGCATATTTGTATTGCCTGGGCTATTGCTTGATACGCCGGCGTGGATCCAAAGGACGATGAGCGCTGTCCAACCCCCAAAGCGGTGCGTGTGTTCGAATGTGTTGTGGAATTTGACGCGGAGTCGTGGGTGAGCCGTAACGCACACAAGAAAGATAGAAAACAGGAATGAATAACAAGTGATGATGTCGACCCACATAGAGGCTTTTACAGTCCCTGCGTCTGTATTCTCGAGGAAGAATACAGTGTTGCGATATACAAAGTATGTGTACCATAGGAGCGCTGAGATTGCACAGCCGATATGAAATCCGCCGTAATGATGTAGATCTGAAATCGTCCTCGCAAACCACAATGGTAGGTTGGAGGGAAATTTCGCTACAAAGGCAAAGGTTAAGTTAATAAGATCCTCTTGGCGAACAAATACGGCGGCGAAAATGTTGGCGGCGGTAGCGATAAGAGGTGCGGCGAGAGAGAGGCGCTTGTATAGAACAGCAAATACCACAGTATTTATGATAAAGGTTAGCCCAATAAGTACGCGGTAGGCCGAGAGCCAGTGGAGGCTTAAGACTTTGATCCACTGCCGGTGTGTCCATCTTGTGTTTGGCAATGGGACCGCAGAAAAACTGTGTGTGTTCACAGCGTTGCTTGACTTAGTGCTGGCGTTTTTCTCGTCCATTGAGGCGTATGTCTGTGTCGATGTGGATTTGAGGCTCTCCTGCGACGAGTTGATAGAAGATGTTCGAGTATTGTCAGGGGTATCAAGTGTATCTGGACGTTGGTGCTTCTGGATAACGCCCTCATTCGAGTCACCGTGCTCCTCCTCGGGAACATTCGGTAAAGAATGTTCAAGTGACTCTGTGGACGAATTGCGGAATCCCATGAGTTGAAATTGGCGGGTTCCGGAAGAGTCAAGAGTGGTGAGTAGGCTAGGAGAGGTTAGGGGCGGTCTGCACCGGCAGCCACTGGATAGTTGAGGGGGTGTTGCCATCGGGATAGTGAAAGACTAAATGAGCGGTAAGGAGATAGGGTCAAAGTGAAAGAGTGCCTTTGGTGGCTGATGAAATGGTTGAACTGCTGTTCACTATCAATGATTCCATGACGATTTTATATCGTTATCGAGCCCTGGGTGCATATTCCTCTATTGGAGAGCACCGGTGTTGATGCTCTAAATTTGTTCATACACAATGTTCCTGCAGCTCGTAATCGGGTCTGCCAAACATGTCTCAGTGGCTTGGTCGTGCAGCCTATCAGTGATGACACGCGCTCAGGGTATGGTTAAGTAAGCACTACCATGAGCTTCATAGGGGATCGGGGGGCCAAAGCTGGCGTATGTTCGGTCCGAGCTGTGAAGTTGTAGGCGCGCATTCTGCATTAATCTTAATTTTTAGATGAATTGCTAAATAGGATACCACAGTGCAGTACTGTTGGAGGCTTTCCATTGCAATTTGTAGATTGGCTGCATTTGTTATTCTTATCATGCCCCTGGGGCCAATAAAGCAACCGAAATAGACTCACGTGTCAGACGTATAGATAACATGCAATGCAGAGTACAGTAGGATTCATGTAGTCTAGACAAGCATAGTACCGCATTTGTCGCTTTAGGCGAATGCACTGGAGCACGGACGCCATTGACCTCAGTGGCTGAGCAGATTTGGTGAGTGGTAACTAAGTAAACATCGGAGGCCGATGCCAAGACCTTACGTAGATCCGGTATCTCGGACTCGAGCACGAGGTGGTGGCCATGGAACGACGGGGCTTGTCAAATAAGGGCTGTGTGACAAAACAGCCTCAGAGTCACCGCGCTGGCCTACTAGGCCAAAAGAGGTTTTTGGTCTGTGCATACGGTTGACATAGTCGACATACGATGCGTAGATGGAAAGCGAAATGTGAATGTAACCTTGAACGGAAATCGGACAGACAGCGAATGCGACAGCATCAGAGACCGTCGAGAAATGCCAGTAATTCTTGCACCACCTTCTCTGGCTGCTCTTGCTGCGGCCAGTGACCTGCGCCTTTGATGAAATGATTTCCTCGGAAGTCAGAACAAGAATCCGGATAAGACTCAATGGCCCCGGGTTGCTGATGGTTCCCCCAGTCGTTTGCGCCTGATATGAAGGTACTCGGGCACTCAATCTTCTTGCCTGCAAAAAGCTCTAGGTCCTTCATACGATCTGGATCAGTGGTTATACGGTAATAGTTGAGGCCACCTTGGAAACCTGTTCGAGACCATTCTTCCACGTAAACTGCAAGGTCCCGGTCGGGCATCCATGACTTGGTCGCCGACATGTCCTGGCCAGTCATCATGTTAGCAATAGTTTCGGGCATGGATAGGTGTAGCGGCATAATGTAGTAGAAAGGTAATTTTGCCAGCTCGTGGGCCGTCCAACTCTCCAGCGGGTAGGGTTCATTCTGTTTCCAGTCGGCTGATTTGACATGAATGTATCCTCTTAGAAACTCATGCAAACCCTGGGCAGGGTTTGCCCAGTCTCGTGCTGCTACACTAGTACTGTTGTACCACTTGTAGTGCTTTCTTGGCTCAGCTAGGCTCGCCAGCTCAGCGTGGACATCAAGTGGCGGTGCAGAGGCGTGCATTTGGCGCTCAGCTCGAGCTGTGTTAAATGGAAGGGGCTCAGGAGCCTTGAATGGATGGCTCATCATCACAACGCTCTTGAACAAGTCCGGGCGCATCAAAGCGCACATGCTAGCAGTCACAGCCCCGAAGTCATGACCGACGATGCACTTGACTTCGCGATAGCCCAAGGCGTTGACTAGGGTAACCACGTCACGGACGACACTAGTCATAGCAAATTGCGACAAATTGGTATTGATGAAGGATGAGTTATCCCAACCGGTGGTCCTTCCGTAGCCTCGCTGGTCGAATGCAACGACGTGGTAGCCGGCGTCTGCTAATGGCAACATTATCTTTCTCCAGGAGAAGGCAAGTTCGGGAAAACCGTGGCAGAGAACAATGAGAGGCTTATGTTGGCTTGGCGTGTAGCCAGCTTCGATTACGTGAAAGGTGAGCCCGTTGGATGAGCAGTGAACATAGTTTTCGGTGATGCCGGCTGGCAGTGGTAGAGGCAGTAGCTGCGAAGCCGACATATTGATGGCTTGTCACGTGGGAGTGGATCAAAAGTATGGATGAAGCAATAGGCAGTTGGTGCTTAGTGTAGCTGATTTTTCAGGTACAGAAACGTACGATCTGAGATGATAGTGTAGAGCTAAAAGTGAGTCTACGATGCGGGGAAGATGTGAGAAGGAGCTGCCAAGCTGCGTAATGCTAGTGGCCCACTTGTTGTGGTAGTACGAGGCTGACGCCTGCTAAATTTACGTGCCTATCAATCCTCTTCTACAACAAAAACGAGTCTTACGGGGGCAAAAGGTCACTTTTAATGCAACCATAGGCTGTATCGCAGATGCGATCTATCCACAGTTGGTTTCACCTGTTGTAGTTCTCAACTTGGTAGGGCCTAACCTTTTCAGGAAAGAGCTTGCCCTTCTATAAACCAAACAAAGAACTTTCCGACCGTTGTTTACCCTTCTCCACCACAGCCTCGATGAACTCCCTTGGTCCATGATGAGAAACAAGCTCCGCACTCATTTTGAGATAATGCTCTGCAAAGACATGCCAAAGTTTCTTGTCTTCCTCGTCGGTGGCATTGGGGCGCGGGTAGTAGGGATCATTGAACCAGAAGCCCTCGACTAATTTCTTTATTACCTCCTTACATCTTGCCTCACCATCCGCATAGTACTCGAAACGCTGGCACTGATTAAAGTCCAGCAGCCACATTGATGTCTGTTGATTTCTGAGATTGGGCACATGTAGCCTTCCTGCTGTATGCTTTGTAGCTGCACGAACTTCCTGTTCGCTTGGATAACTACTACTGATTATATGACCGCCTCCAAGAACAAATTCTACATCGTTTGCGTCGATGCCGACTTTCCAGTGGAGTAAGGCTAAAGTCTGTGCCAAGGTAACAGCGTAGGATTCTGGACGTAACTGGAGTCCTTTCATCTCGTTGACATGAAGTGGAAAGTTACGAAGCCGAATGTTGCCGGCTTCCCTCTGCGACGTGCAACTGCGGCGACCTAGATAGATTCTAACCAGGCAATCCTTATTTTCATGTCTCGCGAGAAATTTGGTTTTGATGGTTTTGATTGCTTCGGGGCATAATAAGTCCACAATGTCTTCGCGGAAGCAGAGAGGTACGGACAAGGTGCGCTTCGAAATGAGGCCGTAGTTTGGAAGAGACGGAATCCCTTTAAGGAAGCAAGAATCGGTTGAAAACCAGGTTGTATTCTCGCGCATGATCCATGCTTCAGGCCGAGGGACAGAGATGTTTAAGGAGGTGAGAGGGGCCAGAGCGCTGTATACTGAGTAGTGAATCTGATAATCGGTAAAAAGCTCATCTTCTTTGGAAGGAGAATTAGGTATCTTGATGACGCAATCGGTGTCGTTTAACACAAGCACCGTTCCACACTGTCCCCTACCGACTTCGATGTGGTTGGCTCTGGCGGGAGAGGTGCTCAGAATGCTTCTGCACCAGTCCAAAATGTCTTGTGATAGAGTTATCGCATACATGGTTGAGAGTTTTAGAAGAGAAACTGCTCGTCACTCATGTGTCGAAACTTATAGTAGGTGAGAAGTGGCAGCCTAACTATTTTGCAGGAAAGAACACTGTATCAGTAGATAAAACCATGGTTCACGGATCCAGGATACCTCAGGAACAACACACACTGATGTTGTATTACTGCCAACCGACAGGCTTGATCTCAAGCCGGCCCATGGCAGTGTAGCGAAACAGTGTTGTTTTGTCAAGTACCATCCAAATAGAGCGTTTTCTCGTGCAGTGCATCGCCCGGGGCCAATTTAGTCTCCGATGAATTGGCTTGTTTGGCAACAAATGGCCCCCATTTTCAACGTTGGTATTTTGTTCAGTCCTTGCCCTTGGCTCTGTTTAATTAAGATGCTTCTCCAGTTCATGCGCTCCGGGCCTGGGGCAGCAAAGCGGAGGGCTGACGCCGGGTCAGCCTTGTGGGCTAGCTGGATGAGTGGTGCTTACTCTACACACAATGGTTTGACAACATGGCAGTATCCTCGACACGACCCCTTCTTCGTGCCTTGCCATGTTTCCAGTAGGCCACTAGTCAAGGCTCTATCGTGGCCCAAGTGGGTCTCTGGCATGGTGTTGCTGTGTCGATGGGCCGTTAGTGCAAATCAGGGACCGGCTGGCCCTGGGCCGGTCCAAGGGCGTGACGTCTGTGGCTGGAGCAGCCATCTAGACTGAGCGAGTCGGCGTCGTGTTGTGCGGTGGCCTGGGCTGCGCGATGTGACGAACAGGTGTATGAATGTTATTGCTCCGTGACGACACCCCGTCCAAGCTTCTGCCCTTGTCCTCGACGGCGTACCATAAGGCGATCCTCTTGCCTGTTTTGCCTGCCTGGACGACTCCACTCGAACCAAATAGACGGCGTCTTCTTCCTACCCTCGCCCGCCCGCAACCCATCCATCTCACTCCTCGCCCTGCCGCCCGCCACGTCTGCGCTGTCCCTCCCTTGGTTTCCTTTTCCTTTTGTTTTCCCGTACGCTCGATGCAATTGGCCTCGCACGCTCCTTGATCCACTGCCGCCGGCTTCCGTGTCTGCTACTAGACGTGACATCATCTAAGCGGCCCCTGCTGCTGCACCTCAACTTCGGCCCCAGACCGAGACTACACCACGCCCATAGACGCCGAGATAATGCAGATCCACCCACGACTGCTGTAATTCCTAATTCAGCCCGCCCACCATGTTTGGCAAGCGACGAAGAGCCGCCTCGAGTCCGGTAGGTTGTGCCTTTTCTTCTGGCTGTGGATGCGCGCGCGCAGACGTCGTGTCGCGCAAACATGGCCATGGATATGGTGACGCGGTGCTTGCTAACACATGCTCTCCCCCGTGCAGGCCCAGCGAGCGCCTCCTCCCAGCGCCTCCGCCTCGCTCGCCGCCTCCAAAGCCTTCATCAAGAGCGCCGAATCCAATGGCGCTCTCTCGTCCGCCGCCGCCGCAGCAGCCCTGCGCACTCACTCGCCAACACCGACGTCCGTAGCAGACACCGTCACCAAGCGCATGGCCCGACGCGGCTCGCTCTCATCCAACGGCAGCTACTCGAGAGAGCCGTCCGGTTCCCTGCATCGGCAGTCGAGTTCAGGGTCCATGACGGAGCGCTCGTTCCGCGCACCATCGCCGGGCAGAGGAAGCCCAGCTGAAACCAATGCGCCGCCTGTCCCGCCTGTGCCCGCAAACATACAGCACCACGATGGTGGCATGCGCCGCCGCGCATCGAGTGTCGAGCCCTTCTATCGCGGAGCATCGCCAGGCCCCAGAGGCGGAGGCAGAGGTGTGAGCTTAGACAGGGGCGCTAGTACTTCTCGACGAGCGCCCCAACGTCCCGCCAACCCTCTTACCCATGTGTCAGAGGAGGAGGACACTGCCCGGTCTATAAACTTCTCCCGCCCCATGTCCCCTGGTGCAGTAGGCACTAAGCCGAGCCCACCACAAACCACCGTTTCATCTGGATGGTTTGGCGCGCCCGTTGTCAACCAAGATGCCCTTCAGCGCATGGCATCAACCTCGCGACCAAAAACATCCAGCGGTGTCTCTAGCCACCATGTCCAGAATGTCCAGAGATCCGTACAGAATGCAGCTGAGCGCCCAGTCAGCTCACATCGCATCTCGCATGGTGTCGAAGGCTCTCGGCTGTCGAGCGGCAGTATGCGTGTGAAGCCATCCGGAACAGCTGTACAAAAGCAAACATATCCGTCGAGACAGGCCCCACGACCCGTTGATCCGAACTCGCCAGATGCCGTCTATGACCCATCGTCCCGCACCTTTATTCACAAGCAGGACGCCATGGCCCGCCATAGAGAGATACACGAAATGCCCGAGCCCGAGCCTCAACCTGGACCAAAGCCTGCAGAGACTTTTCATTCTGTTCATATACCAGAGAAACAAATGGATAGTGGATCACCCAGTCCTATTCGTCACTACGTTCGACAAGAACCACCACCACCTCAGCGAAGAGAGGAACCACTGGCGGCTGTTCAACGTCATTCTGATGATTTTAATGACGCTGATGTGCAGCCTCCCGAGCAAGCAAACACTAGTCGCAGACTTGAAGATTCTGGCTATGGCACGATTGTCGGGTACGATGACGACGCGGCTTCGTCCACTGTCGCCCAGAACCAGGACAACCCCTACCCCCGACTATCCACCCCGGTAAATTCTAGGCCCGCAAGTACTTATGATAGTCATGACCGCGAACGCGCTGGGCGAAATGAAAACTCGCCTTTAAGCCCACCGCGCACTGCTCATTTCGCGCCCTTAGCTACCGAACTTACTGGGCTGAAGCATGAACCGTTGCCCCGATCAGTATCCCCGGCAAAATCCGCACTAAAAGCGTCGCCCTCAGTGTCGCGTCGCGGCGAATCTCCGCTTCGCTCCAACGGCCTTTTGCACACCAGGGGTGCTTCAAGTGAAGCATCGGACACTGCCTCGGAGGAGGGAGGAAGGCGCAAGAAGAAGAACGTTCGTGTCAGCTTTGAGGAAGATGTGGTGGCCCCTACTACCTCTGTCCCGGCTCATCCTGAGCCGCCGAGTTACGGAGGCCTCGGAGCATCCAGGTGGAGTCCAATAGCTGAAAAGGACGATGAGTTTGAAGACCTTAAGAAGCCACGACCTGCTCTGCCTCTTTTCGGTAGTATCCGAGACAAGGAGCGACGTCATAGGGAGGAAGTGCCTGAAAAGGTAACTGAGACCGTCTCCACGAGTCCTGTCGGTGATCAATCTCGGGTTTCAAGCGACATTGCGCTTGGCAACATCGTTTCTGACGACCACACTCGAAAGCAGAGAGGATCAACTGATCCTCTTCCACCTGAGGTTACTTCTGTGGAAGGCAGTGGTTACGTGTCAGACTCTAGCGATTACTCGGACAAGCACGGAGTTACAGAGCACAAAGAAACGCCTCAGCAATCACCAGCTCCGGAGCCAAAGTCTCTGTCTATTCCGCATGAAGAAGTACCATCGACGACAATCACAGCAGCAGAACAAAACGCCCATGTTCCCGACATTGCATTCCAGCCTGCAACACCCAGCCCGTTCGAAAAGCCTGAACCAAATTTTCCAAGCATAACCATTCCTGGAGGATGGGACGAAGATGCTACTGGCGCTAGGAGCCAAACCCCCAAACCAGCTATATCTACATCAGCGCCTTCCACGAACACTGCAGAGCCGACAGGTCAGGCGCCACAATCCAACTCACACGAAGAAGACACTACAGATGATGAAAGCAGTATATATAGCGATGCTTACGAGGATTTGTCTGAAGGGGGTGGATTTGCTAGTATCGATGCTCTTATGGATAAGCCGATCAACCCTTCGTCATCTGGACTGATGCGCTCAAAGTATGCGGATCAAGACGCAACGGAAGGCCCCACCTCGAAGTCTGAGCAACAGACTTCTGCAGAGGATAGTGACGACTCACAGGCAACACCAACACAAGACTGGACCCCTGCTCAGTTGCATTGGAGTGGTTTGAATGCGTCTTTCAAACAAGCAGATAAGGTCGAGACGTCTGTCGAGCAAATACCGCCTCCTAAGAAGGTTATTGATCAGCCAACACAACGTTCAACTTCGCAGGACCGCCCGGTATCAGTAGCTTCACCGTCACCGGCGACCAAGCCTCTAAAGTCGGCCTTGAAAAAGAGTCCAGCCCCAGAAACAACTCGACCAGCCGAGCCCCAAAACAAGACGACACAGGCTCTTGTGCCTAGGGAAAGTCATTCAGAGGTGCATATGAGAAGAACCATGCGTGGTGGCTCAAACACAGATGCGCCAACTGAACCCCGAATGGGTTCGACAATGCGTTCGACTATGAGGGGAGGACCAGAAAACCCTCCTAGGACACAGCCGCAGATGCGACATAGTATGCGGTCAGAGGATACACCATCAAGGGCCAACATCAGCCTAGCTGCATCTCGCCATAGCATGGCACCGGCGGAAACCAAGCCCCGAGGCACACTGCAAAAGAAAAATATCCCATCTCCAGTTGCCTCCAAGGCAAGGCCACAGAGTATGCCCGCTGCGAAGCCAAAGCCCGCACCAGTAGCTACATATGATAGTGATTCTGATGCTTCTGTTAGCAGCTTCCAGCGAACCAGAAGCCGAGGATCCCGTCAACAGGGTGGACGGTACACAATGCGTGGCTCCATGAGGCAGAACCCTACACCGTCCCTGCGCGCCAGTGCACCAGCTCCAAGACAGGTTCGCGCCATCTCACCGCCAGAGTCTCCATCGCCTGCCATGCGAAGGTCGATGCGATCCTCTTCACCAACCCCGGACCCAGTCAAATCATCGAGGTTCAGTATCCGATCACTGTCACCAATGGGAAGGTTCCGCAAGGGACCTGATGTCCGCCCGACCTCACCCATACAGGAAAAGCCGATGCCTTCGTTCACCAAGCAGCCCAAGCCTGTCAAACAAACGCCTCAGCCAGCTAAAGCGCCCAAAGTGGTCAAGGTGCCATTCAAAAGCCGCTTTGCTGATTCGAGTGATGAGGATGAAGATGACCGGCCCAGGCTGTTTCAAAGTCGATTTGAAGATTCGGACGACGAGCCGATGGACTACGAGTTGCCTCCTGGCTTGACTCCAGTCCGAGGTATCCCAAGAAAGCCTGGTGAAGAGGACGGTGACTCTACAGATCTCGAAGAAGAGGTGGATGAGGAGATTCCTGAGGACGTTTCCAAGCCTGTTCCACAAGCGAATGGAACCAAGGGCAATGTTAATGGGCAGGGTGCAGCGCTAGCCACTGGCTCGCTCCGCGATAGCAAACATGCCACTTTACCCACATTTGAGTCTGGCAAGAACAAGAAGAAGCGTGGTTTCTTTGGCCTAGGAAAAAAGAAAACGCCTCAAGCCGAACCTGTCCCTGCCCAACCCGAGCCAGTGCAACCCTTCTCTACACACGGTGACATTCCCATGCCCCCTGCGCAACGCAACCGCGACAAGGGCGCTCCCATGACCCCGATTGACGAGGACAAGGAGTTCGCTGAGCCAGCACCTACCTCTCCCAAGCGGTCGCCCAAGCTCCAACGACGATCGACCCCGGACTGGCCTCTGCCTCCTCCACCACCCATTGGGACTGATGATCGGCCAATGAGCTCAGACGGCGTCGCGTCTCGTAGACCGCGTTTCGCCACGCGACAGCCCAGTGCTGTGTCTAATGTCTCTGCGCCTGTGGTCGATGCACAGGGCCAATCGGTTGCGTATGGCCGAAGTGGGAAGAAGAAGAAGTTTCAGGGTCTGAGACGTGTTTTTGGACTGAATGATTGAGGTGAAGTGTTGGGCACTTTACTCCGCGTGTTCAAGGCACAGGTCCTCTTCTTCTTCTTTTTTGTTCTTCCTCTTGTCATATCCTGTGCAATCTATGAACTGCAAATATATTTGCTTATTTATCTTCAATTCTCTTACTTGTTTTTTTTTGTTTTTTTGCCTAGGCTATTATTCTCTGCGTTCTTTGAAAGCAGACTTTTATGAAGGAAGGAGAAGGAGGTATTAGATATTTTTCTTTTCCTACTTGTTCTCTTTTTGGGGTGGAGTGAGGGACATAATGGCAACAATGATACCAGGTTTCTTTTTTTTTCTCGTTATATCCCCACGGTAGCGTATACTACGGTTGTTTTCGAGGATGGAAGGTGAATCAAGGAGAGAGAGAGAGCGGTGATTGATTGATGGAGAAGATGAGGGGAAATGTAGGATAATTTGTAATGCACACCGAACAGGCCAAACAACACACAAAGTTCTAATAACATATACCCACTCTTGCTTCTCCACTTGTACGCTTTATTTCCCCTTTGGTAGCATTCTTTGTTTTTTCCCCCAACTCAATACTTGGGCTTAAACATCAACGTCGCCATCTGCGCCCCGATATCCGCCTCAACCCCCCACAACCTATACAACCACCTCATAATGACACCAAAGCTCTCCGGCTCGCCCATGTGCTTGACGCCAGTCACAAAGCGCGCCTCCTTGGGCAGTCCCCTCTGCAAGGCCAGATAATAATCGTCAATGGGGAAAATCTCATCGTCGGTGCCATTGACGAGCAGCAACCTCGCGCACTGGTTGGTATCGAGGGTACCATCGTTGAGCAGGGAGAAGCGTGCGGTGGCTTCGTGCTTGAAGCGGGCGACGTCGGTGCCGAAGCCGAATTTGTAGGCGAGCGTGTCGGCGAGATCAAAGGGGTACTCGAGGTGATTGACGCGATCGAGCCAGGCCTTGTCGAACATGTGGTGGCATCCGCCGCCGAGGGCGACGACGCCGGCGAGCCGGGCTGCGTGCGTGTGGGCGACGCGGATGGCGTAGTAGCCGCCGGTGCTAAAGGCCCAGATGGCTGTTTTGGCGGCGTCGAGGGCGGGCTGCTGGGCTACCCAGTCGAAGAGTGAGGAGTAGAGGCGGTCCGGGGAGGTGGGGTCGGAGGGGGAGGCGGGACAGTCGCCTGTGCCGGGGATTTCGAGGACGAGGGTGGCGATGCCGTTGCGCCGGAAGCCCTCCATCCAGACGGCGAGTTCGGTGCGGTAGCCGTCTAGGCCTGTGAAGATGATGAGGAGGGGGACGGGGGTGGAAGGGGAGGCGGTGGAGGGGACGAGGTGGTAGACGGGGATGTGGGAGCCGTCGGATTCATTGCGGTGCGTGTGTGGGATGAGGATTTCGTGGACGGCGTGTTCACGCATAGAGAGGCCTTTGAGGCAGACTTCTTTTCCTTTGGCCCAGGCTTCGCGTTGGACGGGGCTGCGTGGGGCGGGGAAGCGGGCGATGCGATAGACGGCACTGGAGCGGAGGTAGTACTCTGAGGCCTTTTCTGTCTCTCCGTTTGCTTCGGCTGCGCGGGCGATGGAGGCGAGGTTTTCGGCTTGAGGGAAGAATGTGCGGGCGTAGGCGTCCCAGTCGTAGGGCTCGCGCATGTTGTTCTTGACCATTTCGGCGACAATGGGCTCGAAGTCGGAGGCGGTACCAAACATGAAGGGGTATACGCCCATCTCAGCCTATGTCAAGGTCAGTTTTTGATGATCGAGCGTGCAGATGATTTTTGAAGAAATGCTTTGCGATACCTACCGGCTTCTTCCACTTCGTCTCCCATAGCTGTTCAAACGACTCGTGGTGTTTGGCTGGTATGTCCAATTTATCCTCGATGAAGAACTTGCCCCCTGGTGCCGCCATTTTCAGTCTGGATAACTATCCTCTTTGTATACTTTTGTTGATTTTCTTCGTTTTATCGTTAGAGCTATTCGTAGAAAACACTCTCATGCAACTCGTATCTACACTCAGTCATACAATATAAAATGGTCTGGGCCCTTAAAGTCCGATAGTAGGGGTAAACTTATCAGGGAAGAAAAAAAAAAGGAAGAGCAGTACCAGCACCACTTCTTTATACTCAATTGCCTCTTTTGACATTGCGAATTCCTTCTCATCTGGTACTCCACGGGGTTTGCCGATGCAGTGAGCGTCGTGTGTCGTTCGGCCCATGGAGGCGCGGGCCGCCCCTCTTTCGGGCGGTTGGAGATTTTAGTTCGCGGGCGGGGAGCCGACTATCGGCTGAAAGTATCCATCTCGAACCCGTGAAAACAGTATGACAAACACGAAATTTCTACAATCGCGTTTCGGAGTGTATACGCAAGCTAATTCTCTCGATACAGTTAGTTCTCAATGACAAAGTCAGCATCATCGAATAACAGGTAGGCTGCAGCATACAGATGGGCTTAATAAACAATCCTCTACAGTTTCAAATACAGTCACGATTGGAAGACGCATATCATATATGTCTTGGTTGGATTTCATTCATGTTCTCATACCCAATTGTGTAGGCTTAGATTGCCTCTATCGTTGTCATTTTCTTACCCACCCAATGCGCCGAAATGCTGTGCAAATTATTTGTGTGCTACACACTGTTAGTATAACAATCAATGTCGCACCATGCTCTACTTACGAATTCCCTCAACTGGCTTGCCGGTGCCATCGGCAACCTCGGCTGCCGTCTTCTTGTCCTCAACAATGTCCTTCATGAATGGGAAGGTAAGCACTTCTTTAATGGTGTAGTGGTCTGTCAAGAACATGACCAGACGGTCGATACCCATACCCCATCCACCGGTGGGTGGTAGACCGTACTCGAGCGCCTGACAGAAGGTCTCATCGATGAGCTGTGCTTCGTCGTCACCTGCCGCCTTCTGGTTTGCTTGCTCGGCCTGGAAATTTGTCAGTATTTGCGGACCTTGAAGCGCTCTCTGAACGATATTTGGCGAGTCTTTTGTTTGCCCAATCTGAAAGAGAAACATCTTCGACTTACAAAACGTTGGCGCTGGACTTCTGACATGTTCAACTCGGTGTAGGCGTTCGCAATCTCCTTCTTGCAGACAAAGGCCTCAAAACGCTCGCAAAGACCGGGGATTTCTCGGTGGGTCTTGGCAAGGGGTGACATGACTTCAGGGTGACCAACGATGAAGGTCGGGTTCACAGCAGTCTCCTCGATGAACTCACCAACCAGCTTGTCAATCATTCTTGAGTTGGTGCGGGGTTCCGAGCACTCGACGTTGACCTTCTTGAGCACCCTCTTGAGGAACTCGTTCGTCTCAGCAGTGTGTAGTTCAGTAGCTGGTGGGAACTTTTCTCCAGTAGCCTCCTCAAGAGCAGGAATCATGTTAACTCGCCTCCATGGCCTTGCCCAGTTGACATTGTAGACTTCGCCACTCTGGGTATGGTAGACGGTTTCGTAGCTACCAGTGACCTCCTTGACCATCTCACTGACCAGCTCCTCAGTCATGTCCATGAGATCGTGGTAGTCGGCGTATGCCATATAGAATTCGCAGGTGGTGAACTCGGGGTTGTGAGTGAGATCGATACCCTCGTTCCTGAACTGACGACCAATTTCGTATACTCTCTCAAGACCACCAACAACCAACTCCTTGAGGTACAATTCGGGTGCAATGCGCATGTACAGCTCCATGTCGAGTTCGTTGTGGTATGTCTTGAAGGGCCGCGCTGTTGCGCCTCCGGCAATCTTGTTCATCATGGGCGTCTGCACTTCCAAGAAGTCGCGCTCATCGAGATACCTGCGGACGGCCTTGATGATCTTGGTGCGTGCAATGAAGGTATTGCGCGTCGAATCATTCATGATGAGATCGAGGTATCGGTTGCGGTGGCGTTGTTCCTGGTCCTTGTAGCCACTGTCAAAAGGTTAGTACTTCTCCTTTTTTTTAGGCCTTGAGTGATTCTTACAAGTGTTCTGTTGGCAACATCCTGAGACAGGGTGTGAGGAGGATGACTTCACGCGCAAAGATACTCAGTTCACCCTCGCCACCCTTCTTGGGACTTGTTCGGCCAGGGAAGCCAATAACACCGATAATGTCTCCACGCTGAATGTTCTCGTGCTGCTTCTCAAAGGGCACATCGGCCTTGGACTCTTGCAATTGGCACATGACCTGGATGGTAACACCCTCTGCCTTGCCTGTAAATAGTTAAAGATATGTATGCAATTTCTAGTCTCATATACATACAAACGTAGAAGTGGAGCGCGCTGGAAGCCGATCGCTTGGTCATGACACGGAGACCCATGCGAATCTCCTTTTCGGGCTCTGTCTCGCCTTTCTTGAGATGTGAGTAGTCGCGTACATAGTCAGCGATCCTGTAGTTTGTGTGGAACTTGTGTGGGTAAGGATTGGGGTCCTGGGAGGCTGTGAGGGCGGCAATCTTCTTAGATCGAATCTCAAAGTATTGCTGGGATGTATTAGCAGAACATCGCATGGAAATATCAGGGCGGGGATCGAACATTTGGGTTCAATTCCTCAATGTCGTCCTTCTTCTCCTTCTTGGGCCGGGCTGGTAGAGATGCTTCCTTCTCCTTCTTCTTCTCGTCCTTTTCGCGCTGCTTTTGGCGACGCTTGAGTTCACTCTTGGAGATTTTCTCGCCAGTGACGGGATCGGTATGCAGATCCTTGGTCTCGGCAGCCGGAGGCTGGGTTGCAGGTTGTTCGTCAGCCATTATTGCAATTGTTTGTAAGAGACGACTTGCTCGTGTGGGCGGCGCGTCCAGATATATGCCCCGCCAAACTTTTTGACTCACCCCGCCATTGACTCCAGCGGCCGGAACAAAGTTTTTCCATCCGGCTCAAAGCGGCATTAAACAACCATGCATCTTCAACCATGGATGGACTTTACGGGATTACTCACATGTCTGCTGCCTAATTCTTTGGACCCGTAATACCCTCGCTTGGTCAAACCTGCATAATACCAAAGTCGTAAAAAAATCACAGTCAATGCAACATGTGCAAGTTACCAAGGCAATGATAGATTGGCATGCGAGGCTCGGTATGTAATAGTGCGTGGGAAATGATCAAATTTGTTTCAACGAAAGGCGACTACCATTGGGGAAAAAAATAAAGGAGGCCGTCTTTGGGCAATGCATTGTGCAAGACACACAGGAAGGGCCGCAATCTGTCAGAGACAGTGCCCGAGAATGACTTGGACCCCGAGGCAAAGTTGGTGGCAGATTCAACCGACCCTTGGCCAGCATCCATGATCTTCGAGATCCATGTTCGCTGCCGTCGCACCCAAGGGCAAACCCCGCATAGGCATTCTGGAGAATACGAAGACAGGCGGCATGGGGCGTGTGGTGCGCAAGACGAGGCCTTGGCGGCGGTATGGCGACTGGGGACCGACCATTCCTGGACCCTGTAAATCATTTAGCAGCCCTGGCAAAGACCTCGTGGCCTCGTCAGCTTGAAAAGCATGTGCATTTGGGCGTCAACCCTATTGGGACTCTGATCCGAGGTGCTATGTTATCGGAGCGGGGCATGGCACTTGATGTCCTCATAGTTCTTTTGAAGCCCAACGATGCATTTGCGTCTTGTTACCACGGCAATGCGGGGTGGGCGACAAGCGTCGGGGAGAGAATCAATGTGTTTGGGTGTTGGTTTGCAACGTTTACTGAGACAATACCATTTTTAGGTTGTGGCTAGACTGATAGCCGCTGTGAGTGCGGCTAGGGCTGGTGCGATGGCTCTGAGACGTGACAGGCGTCAGATGGAAGCAGCGGGGGCAGCACAGCCAGGAGTCGCAAAAGCACCATCTTGCGGGCCGTGCTTGAGATGTCAAACCGTCGCAGGAATCCGGTGCGCCGTTTACTCAGCAGGGCATGGTTGCTTGTTGGTGAGGCACTCGAGTGAGGCGCACCGGCTGGGTTCGGTGGCTGCATGCGGACCAAAATTGAGTGGATATGCGGCGATCAGCAGACGGTCGAGGCTAAGGCAGGTACGGCGATGGAAATGCGCGACGAGGGCGTTCCTGCGTTTGCTCGTTGGAGCTACAGGCGAGTGGAGACAACATGACGGCGGCCGCAGATGCGGTCGCCCGTGAAGTATTCTCGGATGCCTGGGGGAATTGTTTTTCTGTCATGACGCATGGCTGTTGATGGTAGAGTATGGTATCATGATGTTTGTTCTGAATGTCATCGTCATGTGCTTGAGCCATGAGCGTCATAGCCGCGCTTTGGCGCGTTTGGTGTCGATGGCCCTGTGAATGCATCTAGCACGTGGGCTATTGAACAGCATGCGGGCCGCCAGTCTGGGACCAATGAGCAAGTATGATGTTGTTGCTAGCGTGTATCAGACAAAGGGCGTGCCTATCGAGACCATGTGTATCTACATGTGGATACGTAGTGGTATGTCTTAATGTTTGTGAAGGGGGGAGGGGACAATAGGCCGACGTCATGTACACAGAGTCGGGCATCTTGGATAGCACGTGGCCGATGGCTGCAGGGCAAGCATGACGCAGACGAAGCTCGATTTCAAAGCCGACGCGCAATGGCGACCACGGTTTGGGCAGCAGTAGACAGTCGGACACGGTAAGGCCATGGAACAGAATCGAAACAAGGCGGTGCTCGGGGCGGAACAGTCGGCGCCATGTCGAGACGAAACACAACGGAGACCCTTTTTTTTTCTTTGAGGCTCACAGGGATGATGGTGGAAGAGGGGCATATGAGGGCATTATTGAAGGCGACAGGGCGGGCATATTGGTGGACAGGTGGAGTATTGGTGGACCAGGAAAGGCTGGCATGTCGTGGGAATAAGCAGTGGTGGCGCCAACGGGCATGGCAAAGTTGAGAGTGGGATGCTGGGTGGTGACGCGAGACATGGGCCGTGGCAGCTGTCTCACGACTCGCAGAAGCTATCGATAGCGCGATAGGCGTCGAGGGGCAGGCTGGAGACAATGGCAATCAGCAATCATGATGCGATGCGGAGAGCCAAGCGCGTGTGGGCTGCGTGTTGCGAGCTGGCGGGAGCGAGCGGGCCGCCAGCGAACTGTGAACTGGCCGAGGAGAGCCCCCTATTGAACATGACGCAGCCCCAGCTAGCGGGCATGAGGATGCTAAGATTGGCCTCATTTGCTGCCATGGCGCGATTGGGGGGGATCCTAGCGGCGTGGATGCTGGCGGTGCCCCGATGCCGTGGTTGGGGGACGGGACTGGTGGTGGCGAGTATTGTTTTGGTCCGGCATTGTTGATCAACAATAAACAGTAAACACACACACAGCACACGCATAGCACACGCACAGCACACAGCACACACGCACACACGCACACGCACACGCACACAGGCAAACGCACACAGACTGGCGCACACGGCAGTTGGGTGTGGCGAAACCACCCACGGCTCCGCTGCAGCGCCTCGCACCACCACCAGGGCAGGCTGCGCGCGCCTATGTCGGCGGTGCGGGCAGCAGCACAGCGCAGCGCAGCGCAGAGCAGCGCAGAGCCTGTCCATTGCGTGCGTCCCCACCGTCTGGCCGGCGATGCAGCTTCATGCTGGGTGTCGAGCAGTGCAGCGATTGGCATGCCAGGCTAACGGCCGGCCTGCAGGGTGTCGTCGGTGGGCGAGCACGCACGGGCCCTGCGCCTTGCGGCCACACCAGCCCGCCAGCGCGAACGCGTCTCCTCCCATATTATACCACCCCATTTCCAGCCGATCGCAGACGAGCGCACAAAGGGTCTTTTCTATCCCTCGATCGCCCTCCCTCTGCCCTCTGCGTTGTATCTCCACCTCGTGTCGCGCCCACCTGGCCAGCCCGCCGTTGACACGCGCGCATCCTGCCCTCGCTCCACCACGACACGCAGCGAATCGCCCACGGACACGCCAACAACACCAGCCACGCCTTACCCACCCGCCTCCCGACACCCTCCTGTTCTCCTGTCTGCCCCCACCCCTCTGCATCCTGCATCCCCTCCACGCCTTGCATGGACAAGTTGCACACGTCGCCCGCTGCTTACTGAGGTGCAATTCCCGCTCCTCCAGGTCGCCGCCGCCGCCGCCAAGCTCCACACAACCCACCACGACGCCATCGCGCATCGCCCGCCAGCACCCGCCAGCACTCGACGCATCCATTCCACCGCGCCCGCCCGCCTGCAAAACCCGCCAGCCTTCCAGCCATCGACTGAAGACTAGCTCTCTCCTCATGTGCGTCGCGACTGCCTAGACACGACTCCACCGGTCACCCTGAGGCAACCACAACAACAACAAAAACACCCGGACCCGCCATCCACCAACCTCGCCCGCGACGCCATCCCCGCTCCCCTCGCAACGTCACCACCACCACCACCCCGTTGCGCGTACCATGGATTTTGGTTTCTCCCCCAGCCGAGAGGGTGGCACCATGCACTTTCCGTCTCCTACTCACCCCCACAGCTATCGCCTCGACGGTACCCACTTCTCCCACCTCCAGGAACTGCGCCGCTCCCTCTCCCGCTCGCCCTCCAAGCAATCGCGCTTCCAGCTGCGCAACTCGGACACGCCCCGCTCTCCCATCTCCCCGCTCGCCATCGCGCGCGCATTCTCGCCAAAGGCCTCCAACAAGCCCACAAGCCCCATTGCAGCTTTTCCAGAATCACCGCTAGCGCAGGCCGTTCCAGCAAAGAAGAAGTTTTCGCTGCGCCGCTCAGGACCCCTCCGCTCGTCTCCGCGCACTCGCAACAGCAAGTCCAAGAGCCCGCGACGACGCGCCTTGGCCGAGACGACGGACGGTAACGCGACTCCCTTTATGACGTGGCCCACCATTGGCCAGGAGAACACGCCCGTGCGACGCCTCAGCTCAGAATCGCCAAGCAGCATGGACATGGACAAGCGCCTAGAAGTCGACGACAAGCCCATCAAATTCGAGTTTGCGCGCCGTTCAGAGCTGTCGCCACCAGCAGCAGCGCCCGCAAAGTCGAGCCCGCTGAAGCGCAATGATGGACTCATGAACCTTAGCGGATCGCCCGGATCCAGCCCCATTGCAAAGCGCCGCAGCCTTCACGCCGTCTCGAGTCTTGGAAACGACTTTGAGAGCATCTTTGACCCATCTCCCGCACAGCGAGCTTCTCCGGACGATGCGCCCCGCCAGCGTGACGTGACCAACGAATTCTCCTTCAACAGCTCACCTGTATCGGGCGCGCAATCGCCTATCCACCGCACAACGTCACTGCGCAAGTCAACTCTATCACAGCGGTCAAACACCCCGCGCAAGCCAAGCTACGAGGGCGAATTCGCCTTCCCTGGCCCGGCTGCTTCCAAGACTCGCAATCGCATTTCTTTTGATGGTTCAATCAACAACTCAACACAAACACCCGCCCAACCAGCCCAAACACCATTCCGAAAATCCACCTTTGACGCTGGTCGCATGGGCTTGCCCACACCTTTTGCCCGGGGTGGAGCATCTTTCCCGCACCCCTTGTCACACGCACATACACCGCACTCTGCTTCATCAAGCATCAGCGGAACACCAATGGCTCCTCCCCGAGCCCCGGCCGTGCAGTGGACCAACTCCGTGTTTCCTGCACCTCCCCTGTCAAGCAACCCCCATTTCTCTCGCTCCCTACCAATCGGTATAGGCCGGCCCTTTGAAACCGAGTACGAGCAATCTGCACATGAGCCGTTCGACACTCCATTCAAAGTTGCACCGCCAGCGCCTGTCGCCTTCTCCACGGGCCTTTTGTCCAAGAAGAATCGCAATGCGGATGAACCGGCGGCCGGCGTCTATGTCATGCCTGACACGCCTTCAAAGCGCCAGTCGTTCCCTCCCGCTGTGGGAGACAGGGCCGTCAACCTCGACACACCCCTCGTCAAGCGATCGGGCAGCCTATTCGGCAACGATGCGCGACCCCAGCACCAGTTTGGCACTCCCAGCACGCCCTTTAGTGCCAATGTGTCCAAATTCTCCACAGAGTCGTTTGGTAAGCGACCAAGCATCTTTGGTGACATGGCCAGCAACACGCAGCGCCGCGGCAGCTTTGTCAGCATTGATGGAGACAATGACGACGACACCCAACCAGATAGCCAGTCGCCGACCGCGAACCGCATGGGTGACAGCCAGTCCAGTGTGGACGACATGCCACCAACACCAACCAAGCCCAGCAACAGCTCCAGCCGTCGCTCAAAGGAGAGCAGCTTGCGACGCAAGACGTTTCGCTCGCGCCCTTCGATTGGCTCAGACACATTTGCCGCTCCTGACAACGATGGTCGACCAACAAGTAAGTACACATTTCCATCCCAGACTCGACAACAGTACACTAACCCATAACAGCAGCCGGAAGTCTGTTTGGTGGACAATCGCCATCAACCCCCGCAAACGACTCTGGCGCACCTCTAGATGCAAGCAGATTGTCAATTTCCGGTAACCGTCGCGGGTCGTTCCCTTTCAACGCTAGCTTCGGCTCGTTCGCGCCCGCGACCCCTACCACACCTCGTGACTCTGGCTTCTTCGGCAGTGTATCAGGGGCAATCCCCATTGGCCTGACCAAGAACGATGTCGACGAGTCGCTGAGCGAGCGATTCCACGAGATCAAGCCTCTTGATGGTGGAGAAGGCGAGTTCTCGACCGTGTACCGTGTCAGCCATCCAGTCAAGCCTTCACCCCAAAGGTCGCCTGCTGGCAGCCAAGTTTGGGTAGTCAAGAAGTCAAAGAAGCCCTACATTGGCCCAGGCGACCGCCAAAAGAAGATGCGTGAGGTTGAGATTCTTTATGCTCTGCGCGGTAACGAACACGTGCTGGGCATCAAGACGCACTGGGAGTTTGACCAGCACCTCTACATCCAGACCGAGTACTGCGAGGGCGGTAACCTGAGGAAATACCTCGACACTGTTGGCTTTAATAGCCGTCTGGATGACTTCCGCATTTGGAAGATCCTGCTTGAGTTGTTGATGGTAAGTCCAAAAATAGCTTTTTGTTTGCGAGCCAAGCTAACCCCCCATTGTAGGGCCTCAAAGCCATTCACGAAGCAGGATACATTCACCTTGATCTCAAGCCCGCCAATGTTCTTATTGACTTTGAGGGTGGGCTGAAGATTGCCGACTTTGGCTTGGCGAGCCAGTGGCCAGCTCCTGCTGGCATTGATGGCGAAGGTGACCGCCACTACCTTGCTCCTGAGCAACTCTCTGGTCGATTCGACAAGCCTGCAGACGTCTTTGCCCTGGGCATGATGCTCGCCGAAATCGCTGGTAACTGCGTTATCCCCGAAAACGGTGACTACTGGCAAAAGCTTCGCTCAGGCGAGTTCGAAAACGTGCTCCCAAGCTTGACTTGGAGCGCGGACAGCAGCACCCTCAGCCGAGACTCTCACGGCGACCCAATCTCTGAGTCGGCGAGACCCTCCATGGATGGCTTCCTCATGTCTGACGCTGCTGAGGATTCAATGGCTTGCATTTCCGTCAAGCCAGCATCCAACCCGGAGGAGGACCTCGCACGCGCACCATCCTTCATGGTACAACGCAACGACCCCAACTCCATGGACCATGTTGTATACGCAATGCTGAACCGCGACCCTGATCAACGACCAACGGCAGACCAAGTGCTCCAGTGCTATGGCTGCCGATGGGTTGACTCTAGGCGTCGCTCTGGTGCCACCATCTACGAGGGCAACTTTGGCCCAAGTGATGAGGTTCTTGCTACATACACTGGCCAACATTACGGTGATGCCGATATGATGGACATGAGCTAAGTGCTTGCGCTTGACTGTTCACTATCGTATCATCTCCACCACTCATCACTTCGCACCGTCTTGGTTACATGATGAATCACAAGCCCTCTCGCAGGTCATTTCGCGATATGGTGCTCCCTTTTACGAATTTTCCCTCTCCTGTACTCTATATCACGAATCGGAGTTTGGACATCGATAAAGGACAAAAAAGGCAACTTTTTGTGTTGCTTTGAACGGTTTTTCCCCATTCGGGGGAACATCATCATTTTCTTTTCTTTCGTCTCCTTTGTAACTTTTTTTTCCTTTGTTCATTTCTCACTTTTCATCTCTGTTTCACGAGCTTTCTGATGTTTTCAACGGCCGATATATAACTATGGGCTTCAAGGTTTTGCTTTGGGGAAACATTGGGAACATCATTGGAGTTTTGTGCGTTGCATATGCATCCCCCCACGAGGATACCTTCGCTGCTGGAAAATAGCGCGAATGGGGATTGGCGTTTTTTTGTCTTTTGTGGCTTTTTTTTTATTGTGATGGGGATGATTGGAACTGCTTCAATGTCTCAAGTAGGCATGTGTATGTGGGTAGGGTGGTAAAGGGGCGTTGGAACGGAAGATGGATTTGGTCTCTCACGGATTGGGGGGTTGGGAAGGAAAGGTGGGGGACGGTGGGGTTTTTTTGGTGATGGGATATTCGCATGGCATATTGAAAGACAAAACAACAATATCATTCACGATTTTCCATGCCCATATCGTTGCTTCAATATCTTGCTTGTGATGTACTGTCTTGCAATGTCGAGGGAGAAGGTGAGAACTTTTGTCTTTAGTACTTGACGTCTCCATACACGTCTTTCTTCCTTTCTCGTCTCTCCGTCTCCTCAAAATGCATTCACAGCATCGACTACGCGTCATGCATGGCTGAGCCCCCGCCAAACAAATAAAATATACCTCTACTCATTCCGGACATGACCACTATCACATCTACTTCCTAAACTCATTCCCACCAAAAACCCCCCTAATTGAAATCCCCAATCCATCCCAAACACCTCCCAGCCATACTACAATCGGGAAGCACACGCAGGCGCCATCTCGATCGAACCTCTTATCTAACAAAGGAGCTATGCGTTATTTGAGATATCTTCCTAACCTGCCATTAACCCATCCCAAGATCACAAGCACCTTACCCTGCACCTTTACCCTATCTCTCCCGGAGACCCTTGTATTTCCTTTCAACCAACACCCTGGGGAAGGGGGGGGNGGGGGCGGGGGACGGAAGAAAGGACATGTAGAAGGAGGGGAAGCGCAAGTAGTTAGGAAAGTAACAAAATTGAAGTTAATATTCTTTTTTTTCAGCTGGAAGAAAAATTGACTCTGTTTTCTGTATTATTATTGTTATTTTTTTTTAAAAAAAAAGGGACTACCGCTTTATACACACCCTTTTTTTGACCTTGGTTTTGATTCTCTTTTGTTACAAGGGTGGGTTCTGGCGGGGATACTAGGGAAAGTAGGACTTGCGCCTACTTTTTTTTTGGTTGTTGTGCGAATCATTAGAGTAGAGTGTGCGTAACACGCGTACTTGATCTACTGTTGTTGTTTTGTGTGAATTTGGGCTTGAGTGCTGCACTGGGGAAATCCGGTGTTGTTATATGATCGATTTGGTGAGGATGTTTGTCTCTCCGTTGGAGAGGGGTGGGGAGCTTGACCGGCTGTTTCAGAGCCGATGTGTGACTACGATTACACTTCCTTTCCATCCGCACGTTTTTTTTTCGTTGTTTTTCTTAGGCATGTTCGGGGATAAATTTGGAAAGGTTTGTGGAATGAGAATTGTATGTAGATATGTGATTAGATCGAAGCTTTAAGTAGAGTGGGAAGGCTTGGGTGAGATCCGAAATATGGCCGCGAGCAGGCATTGTAAAGTTGTGTACCGATAATGCTTACTTGATTTTTCACATTTGGGGTGTTTTATGTTACTGGGACTAATGAGATTATTGAGTCTTTAGGGCTATGTAGTGTACAGTATTAAATAGTTATGTCTGGCTTGCTTGTTTTATTTTCCCCTGCCCCTTTGGTACTTTTTTTTTTCACTATATAGTACTGCCTCTATTTCTCCATTCCCATAGCAGGCAAAGGTCTTGTACTACAGTAACGCTGAAACCGCATGCTTCCAACATAGGCAGCAAGTCAGCAAGTCAGCAAGTCAGCAAAATAGCCCTTTTCGAGTGCTTAGAGAGCAGTGTCTAGTGTATGTGCGCAGAATAGAAAAATAAGCCCGAGTGTAAAGTGTTATGCTTACAGCCGGTAAGCGATGCTGAAGAGAGATTTGTGTACAGCTCTAGGTATACAATAATTTGTCTACCTGTTGCTGTCATTGTTAGCTAATCCCCAGCAAGTTGTTACCCAGCAAGCAACATATCACACTGATTCTATCAGTCTTTTCACGCGAGGACTGTCTTTACTAATCTCTCCTCATACTCAAATACTGTTTTTTGTGGACGGAAATAATTGTCTAGCTAACCTGCAGTCATTCTTCGCTAATTTAAGCATCCAAGCACTTCAGTCACAACCTTCATCCCATCTTCACTTAGATCAAATTACTCATAGGTGATATCAATTCATTTATCAAATACACATAACCACATTGGATATTTGCAGAAGCCAATGGTAAGAATAAACCGACAGCTATTTCAAGCAACGAACATCTCCCTTAAGTATACATCAAAGGCAAGATACGACGTAGACGCCTTATCAGCCATGGTACTAGTGTTTAGTTCTCTGTTTATGGAGATGCAGAGTTTAAATTCGAGCTAACATCCAGGTAATTTATATGGCTAGTATCCAATATGAAATCAGTATAAGAGTCTCATCAAGGCTAATTCAAGCAGGATACCATAGATCTATGGCCGTCTACTATACAGCTTTAGGATATGCGAGACCGTAATGTTGACAAAAGAGGAACAAATAGCCCACTGCGACCCTCGGACAAGGTACGGCAAGATGGAAGCATCAGTTCTGTGATGAAATTATCTATGCTATCCCGTACGACTTCTTTTGGCCGAGAATTTGAGAATTGCATAAAACATTAGAGGATTTTTTTGAGAATCAAAGTGTTCCCAGATAAGTATGAGATTAAGCCATAGAAATGAGCAAAAGAGATTGTTTCTTATGAAGGAACTATGGGAGCGGAGCAGATACTAGGACTTGCGAAGACGAAGAAATTTCAACAGATTAATTCTGGGTTTCTGTACATGCATGAGAAGTGCATTAATAGTGCGTGCCTACGCAGTTTTGATAGGACACTTGGGAGAGTTACTTAATCTGCCCACCTATAGATGAGCAGTTAGGTAGGTGATCAATTGCAAATCCACACTGTCGGATGTTTTTGGTGCTATTTGGTCAAGTAAGACCGACATCACGTGACCCTTTTCTTGAAACTTTGTATTTATCCGTTTATCAACAGAAATTACCATAGCGTTGGGACGCTAGAAAGGACCACTACATATCACCTTATCGAATGTTCGATCCCGCTGCACCCGTGCCGTAGCCTATACCTCAAGCAGTAACCTATTCCGTACTATCACTCTGTACGGGTCTCACAGAGGTCCACCCGAATCCTTTTATTACGTACTTTGACTGTAAAGTCAATTTTTTTTTGATACCCGATTCCGGCAGGTTGGGGTGTGGCCTGCCATTCATTTCTGAGATAATTGATCTGATACTACGTATAACTATAGCAAACAGAGAAAAAAGTCAAGCGATCACTCTGTACAATGCAGCCACGACTTAGAGAATATTCAATGATGTACCCAAATCGTGTAACTTGAAAACAACTCGTGTGGGTAAGAGGCAAAATATACTTTACGCTGTCACGTTCGATGCCGCGTCGTGTTCGCAAATACAATTTTCTTGCCGCGTCTCAAGAGGCTTTCTAGAAGGCCGCAGGCGTTGTCGAGAACCTTGGCAACCCGTCCCGTAGAGCTGGCGCAGCATGGATCTCGAACGCCCGAATATTGCTTTTTGACCAACTCTCCCCGAATGGTAGAGTGTGACGCAAGAAACGTGGAAAATACGGCACCTAAAAGGAATTAGTTGGAAGGATACACTATTGAGGATGAAATGCTGTGCCGAAGAAGGTTGAAACGGTCCTGATTCGAGATAGCCATGTGCTCTGCCTACTCGCCAACCGGCACATAATGGTGCCGAGAAGGCATGGGGAACATACCACACAATAGTTCTTACATGGGTACGGGACGAATCGATCGACCTTGATCTACGCCAGCCCGATTGATTGATGCAACGGCACGGAGGCGTCTCACGATTACTATGGGCTTAGCTCACCGGTAAGATGGAGGCTAAGCTTCACGAGCTCGCTTGGAGGCGTCTGCAGCCCGACTCAACGACGACCTGCTTACAATGCACTACGTATTTATTTTGCTAGAGATTTTGCGTCGCGTCTTGCCCTGCTATTTCTATTTGGGTAGTCTGGGCGTTTGGTGGCAACGGCTTGGATGCCTCTATCTTGCCCCAACCACCGTGAGGCTGTACACTGCTGGGGTGTTGTCAGTGCTCCAAAAGCTTCGGTAATTTGCAAAGGGCAGACCCCTGGTACGCAGGGAATATGAGCCAAGAAATACATCATGGTCTGGGTTGTCGGCATGCACACGTTGGCTTGCAAGGATTCATATAGCCTGCATGCAGATTTTTAGCTCATCATAGGCTGCCTTACTATGCAAAATGTATGCACCCCAAGTAAGTGTTCGCTGACTGAACCTACAGTAAAGAGTATCGCTTTCGTTGTCTATGAATTAGGATAACACGACTGCCTCACACAAGTTGATTTTAGTAGGTAGTATGTACATAAATGTAGGAGGGTTTTGCAGTGGGGCGGGATTTCCAAGACCCCATGGGGTCACAGCGCCATGCCTCGTCGCCCAAGCCACAAGTGGGACCCATATCCGGGCGTGACCGCTACCCGGTCTGCATGGAGCTTACCGCCACCAGGCTTTGTGCACAAATTACATGATACGG